AAGATATTCTCAAGAGGTCAAAACAACTTTATTGGCAACTTCGGAATATCAAGGAACTTTGGCAAAACGTTTAGGCCAGCATTCAATCAACATAAAACACTTTTCAAAGCATTAACTTAGCTCATTTGACTTTGCAAGCTCTAAGCCTGTTCAATTCTAAGTTACTCAAAAATTCCAAGAAGAGGGAATTAAAAGAAGAAAGAGAGAAAGGCAGAAATTTTATAGAAAAGAACAAGCATAATTACCACTCCAGGTTCCAGCGGAGTGGTATGAATCTCTCATAGAGATTCAAAGAGTAGATGGGGTCAAGACATGCTGACCTTGTGTCAGGTTAAACACCCTTTGGCTTTCCTGGGCCCTTCCCCAGGTGGGAGTTCAAGTCATCTGGCCACTCGGGGGCTGAACTGGGGCTCCAGGGGCAGAGTGTGGAGCATTGTCTGCAATGCTAGGGATTGGTGGCCGCTGTGGGACTGGGATACAGGCTCTGGGGGGTGGAGTATATGGAGGAATGTTCTGCCTCACCAGAACAAGGCCCGACCTGCCACTTTCCCTCACACACACTCCCAAAACATTTTGAGCAAACATTCCTTCCAATCTCTCACACAAGTGGAGAATTCACAGGACAGGAAGGGTGTAATTTGTTATCTGTCTCTGAGGACATAGTGTTAGAGAGGAAGGTTGTAGTAGCACCTGAAGAGCAGGGGCTCTGTGGGGGGCTGTGGCTAAGCGTACGATGTTCAATACAAAGTGGGAAGGTGACCCTTGCTAGCTGGAGGTTAAAACAAGGAAGAAGATGGCGTTGGCCAGCCATACCCAGATGAGATCTGGGGAAATCAAAAATTTGAGAAACCAAAGGAAGTCAGTAAAATATGGGAGACTTGAACCTGGGGCATCTTTGAGAACACCAGTGAAATTTTTCATGTGTGTAAGCCTAAATGTACTAGCATAGATACATATGAGTATAAAGCAGGAGTGCCCAGACTGTTAATTAGAAAAGGAGGTGGGATAATCTAGTAGAACACGTTAATTTAATAATGAGGGAGCCTGTTAAATGACTGGTGTGCGTGCAAGCATCATTTGGATCTTTGCCTGTGGTTCTGGAGTCAAAAATCTACCATCAGCTAGACACCTATTTATCTCAGCTATGAGTACTTAACAAGTAAGGCAGCAATTCTGTGAATACACAAGGATTTCAGCTTAAATGTTTAAGGTTTGCTTTGAAGTCTTGACATAAAAAGTTATAAATAGCAGATCTAAGTGGTGACAATAATACAAGAATATGAATGTATAGAAGCTTACTTGTGGTTATAGATAGAATGAGATGTTATATATATAAAAAAGGAGAATTGAAAGGAAAAAAAGGTAAATTTAAGGTAGAAAGCACCTTAGAAAATAGGAAATATAAAATAGAAAACAGGAAAAATACCCAGTCAGTTAGACTATTCGTTGGGTTTTTTAAATTCTGGAAATTTTTTGAATTTCTAAAGAAAACTGTTAGAAACTGTATCATAAAATACATTAAAACATGCTGGAAAAAACCCAGTAAGTTTCTGGTTTTGTCTATAATGATGAGTATTGGAGAGTTGGATGGCCTGGATAATATCTTTTGGTTTTATGTTTTACCATTTTATCTTTCATTTTACACCAGCATAAATCTGTCAATGTCTTAGGAAAATGCAAACAAAAATGGTATTTGGGAAAAAACCTCCAAATGTTGGGGAAAAAAACCCCAAAACCGACAAAGAAACCCCACAAAAACATCAAAGCTCTACAATGTTGTATAAGTGTATGAAAAACAGTGTTTATTTTCAGAGTGCAAATCAATTAAGGGAGAGCTTAAATCTACTTTGGATAAATTAAACCCAATGCTGGAAATTTCACAGAGAGAGAAAAGCTCATTAAACCTTGGCCATGTATTACTGGTAGCTTCAGATCACTGAAGACATCCAAGGTTATGCCTGGAAGATAATCTTTGACAATGTTTTGATAGCACCTGGTCATTTAAAATCTCTTTTAATTTCATATAGCGTACATTACTTTAGGAATATCTGCACCAGTCTTGTTTATGCTACAAGACAGATTTTTAAAATAAATATTGTTTGGTATTATCCTTGTATCTCTTTGTTCTATTCTCTCACAGAATCACAAAATGGTTGGGGTTGCAAGGGATCTTTGGTATTAATATTGTCCAACAATCCCTGCTCAAGCAAGGCCTCTAGAGCAAATTGCCTGCAGTTATGCCCAGATAGCTTTTGAGTATCTCCAAGGATGGAGATTCCATGTCCTCTCTGGACAGCCTTACAGTGCTTGGTCACCTTCACAGTAAAAAAAGCATTTCCTGATGTTCAGAGGAAACCTCCTGGCATTATGTCTGTTTGGGCCTGTGACCACTGGCCCTGTCATTGTGGAAGACTGATTCTGACCTCTTTGAACTCTCCTTTCAGGTATTTATATACATTAGTGAAATATCCTGCCCTGTCCTTTTTCTTCTGTTGGCTAACAGTCCCAGTGCTCTCAGCCTGTCTTCACTCCATTTGTCATCTTCTGTGGCCCTCCCTTTGTTGGACACTCTCCAGTATGTTCATGTCTTTCTTGTACTGAGTAACCCAGAACTGTACATCACTCCAGGTGGGCTCCTCACTGTTGAGCAGACAGGAAAAATATTTTCCTTTGACCTGCTTATAATGCTTTGCCTGATCCAGACCAGATACCATCAACCTTTTTGCTGGCTTATGTTCAACTTCGTGTACTTCTGGACCCCCAGGTGCTTTTATGCAAAGGTTCACACCAGCTGCGAGAACACCAACATGGGTTGGATGCCTGGTTTGTTCCTCCCCAGGTGCATGACTTTGCCTCTTGGACTTTATGAGATTCTAATGTGCCTCTTTCTCCAGCCTGTTGGGGTCCTTCTGGATTGGTACCATGGCTGTCTGCCATCCTGTTTGATGTCAGCTGCAGACTTGCTGAGGGTACGCTGTACCACATCATCCAGATCATTAATGAAGATGTTAAACAGGATTGGACCTAGTATTTACCCCTGAGATAGATTGCTAATTACTGACCTCAAACTAGACTTTGTGCCACAGATCACTGCATTTGGGGCTTGGCTATTCAGCCGCTTTTCTACTCACCTTTCTGACAATTTGTCCAGTCCACACATCTTGTGGACTGCATCTTGTCTGCATCTTGTCCTCTAACAATATCTTATGGGAGACAATGCTATGGGCTTTATTGAAGTCCATGTAGAAAACATCCACTGCTGTCTCCTCATCCACCAGGCCAATCATTTCTTCATAGAACTTTATTATGCTTTGGCCAAGCATGACTTCCCAGTACTGAAGCCATGCTGAATGCTCCTGATGAATTCCTTGCAATGCACCTGGAAATGCCTCTGTTACCTTCCTTGGGGTTGAAGTGAGGTTGACAAGACTCTGATTCCCTGAGTTCTTCTCCTTGCCCTTTTTGAAAATAGGAATAACATTTCCTTTCTTCTAGCCGTTGGGCTTTTCTCCCAGTTGTCATGATTGATCAAAAATTATTGAGAGTGGCCTTGCAATGACACCTGCCAGCTCCCTCCACACTTAGGTGTGGGTGCATCCCAGGAGAGCCCAAGGGTTTCAGTATGTTTGCTTAGTTGTTCTCAGATGATCCTCTGAGGTCCTCTGATCCTCTTCCACCTAGAGTACATCTTCCTTGCTTCAACCTTACCTCCTGGTCTCTGGTTTCTGGGATTCCTGAAGGCTGGTCTTGATAGTAAATACTGAGTTGAAGAAGACGTTCATTATCTCAACCTTTTCCATAACTATGTTACCAGGTCCCCCATCTTGTTGAGCAATGGGCTCATGTTTTCTCTAGTCTTCCATTTATCACCTGTCTACTTAGAGAAGCCCTTCTTGTCCTTGACAACCCTGGCCAAATTAGTTGCATTTGAGCTCTATCTTCCTTAACTTTTTCCATGCTCAGGAGTTATTTATGTGTTCCTCCCCGGTTACTCATCCTTACTTCCACGTTCTGTATGCTTCATTATGTGTTTGAGTTTGGCTAGGCTCTTCTAGTTCATGCATGCAGGCTTTTTGCTGGTTTTTTTCAGCTCTCTTGAGATTAGCAGAGGTGAAACTTGAATTTTAATCAAATTTCTTGTTCCCATTATCTAGGGCCTTATCCCATGGGACTCTTCCAAGCAGATATTTGAAGAGGCAAAATTCTGCTTCTCTGAAGCCTGGGGCTGTGATTTGCTTTTTACCCTCCTTTGTGCTCTCAGGATCTGGACCTCCACTATGTCATGGTCATTGCAGCCGAGGCTGCCTTGATTTTCAAATCGCCAACAAGCACCTCCATTTGTCCTTGTATCACTTAGAAGTGGAATCATCAGTACATTTCAGGAACCCAGATTTCTTGAATCACTGAGAAAAGTGATATCAACCCCAGATACTGGTTTGTCCTTGACAAAACTGGGGCAATATCCCATTAAGTATCCCTCTAAGATTTATAAGTGAGCTTTGTATCAGCCCTTCTTAAGGAGCTTCTCTTGTTATTTATGTTTTTATAAGCCATTATTTTGCTTATAATATCTGTACTAATTACCTGTCTTTTTATTCTTATTTCCAAATAAGTAAGAATATATTAGTGTTCAATTGATATAATTCTTTGAACAAAGAGGAGAAATTCATTTCTATGCAGCTGATCTAGAGTTATTTATCCTCCTTAAGAAGAGATGACTTCACAATCAGTATAAAAATGCATTAATGACAGAAGAAACCATATTTTACACATTATGTGCATTTGTATAAAATACAAATACCACCAGATGTTGATCTCATCATGTTATGTAAAAGAAACTGTATATAAGTTGAATTTGACTTTATTATAACATTAGTATTCCCCTACATCGTCTTGAGGATTTTTTTATGCTTCATATTGATATATAAGAAGATGTTGAAGGCTGCTGACTTTTCTGCAGAATTAATCTAAACTTTGATCTCTTTTGTCATACTGTGCAGGAGTTCTGAAGAGAGCTAGTGGGGAGCTTTTAATAGGAGAAACTAGAGCAAATGAAACCAGCGTGCTTCCTGAGCAGTTACTTCAGGTAGAAGAGGTGAGTGTGAAGAGTCGTACACTTTGTGTGGGGTTTTCTTTTGTGTCTCCAGTGTAGGCTTTCACCATGTTCATTTTAAACACCTCTTGCTGTAGTTTCATTACTTCAGCTTCTGTGATTACTTCTATGTGCAAAGTTTCGGTTTTGATGGATTAAAATCTTATGGCATTCAAAGAAGTGGTTGGTATTTAGTAGTTATTAGCAGAAAAAACTGTTAACAAAATGGAAAAAAATTAGTTAAATATGATAGGTTTCTTAGTAGCATACAAATAATCTCAAAGAACCTCAAAGAAAATCTATTAAGTTCTTAGAATTTGATCATAATGGTTCTTCCTAGAGGTATAGATGTCATATAATGTCTAGTTTTTCTGATGCCAACAAACTACTGTGTAATAAGCACTGTGCTTTGTAGAACATACATACAAGATTGTTGTTATCTGGCTCCCATTTACTACAAAACACATTTTTATTATTGATTTTGTGGCACATAAATGCTCCAATTGTCTCGTATTTTATAATAGTGGAATTTAATTTCTTAATGGCCTCATTTTGATGCTGAAATTTTAAAAAAATGTGTTTTGGATTGATGTGTGAAACTAATATGTATTACAAAGAAGAATATTTTAGGTAGATTAGGATGTACTTGATCCCCGTTAAAAAAATTGAGGGAGTGTAAAAGTGTGTATCCATGGAGGCTGCCCCTGTGCTTACAAGAGCTGGATGTTGCCAGTGGGAAAAGGGAGAGGAAGGAGGACACAACTTTTAAATTGAAGTAAACTGGAAGGGCTTCACTTTGTAGCCCTTCATTCTCTTCCAATTTAGTATTATAGCTGCAGGAATAGTTAGAAATCTGTCTTTATTATTTTCCTACTGTGTCCTCATGGTGGAGATATTTACTGAATATCATCTTATGTAATTAAAATATATCTCTTACAGTGCAATTCTCAAATGGCCATTTCTGGAAAGGTTTAAGTCTGATATAAGTCATAAGAGCAATGCAAAGTCAGATAAGTCAAAAAGTAATGATGTCCTACTGTGTCTTCTTATGGCAACTCTTACACTTCAGATTACTGCAGAAGTCTGTGTTTAAAGAAGGCAAGGAACTGATGTAAACCACAGCCAAAGCCAGCCTTGGCCTAAAACTACAAATCTCTATTTAAACATTTTAATCTTTTCTAAATCCACTTCTAGAGAAGTGAAATACAGTGTGGCTGTGTTAAAACCAACTCCTCTTAAGGCTTTCCCATTGAGATTCATGGTTAGTAACTTCCAGTTGTTAACTTGCAGTGAAAATTGTTACAGGGTATATATTGCTAGATTACTTTTTATTATTACTATTGAAAATTCCTATGAATTCTTTCACGTTTTAAAGTAGAGTCGGTTAAAGATTACCAATTAAGTAAAGATGAAGCATGTTTTTATAAAAGCTGTTTTGTTTAAACAGGAATTCATTTTTTCCGAAAAATTTGATGACATGTTTAATGTTGCTATGCATTTTGTTGAGTGTAAATATTACTTTAGTATGATTTCAACACTAGTGGACTATATTTTGAATTATTTAAATAATTTCAAAATGTGATGGTTTCCTGTAATTTAATTATGGATGTGCATTTAATTTTCAGACTGTATTAACACTCAGTAAGGACTTTGGAGTTATTTAATTTTAATATGTGTTTCAGCCTATTTTGCTGAGTTTTGGCTGGAGAAATGCATTTAAAGACCTGTCTTCTTCTGTGGCTCACTGTATAACAATAGCAATTGAGGATTTTTCATCTAAAATTCTTCAACATGAGCAGAAAGAAGAGTTTTCAGCTGCAGGCTGTGCAATGAGTCTTGTAAACAACCAGCAAATGAGGGAGTCCTGCAGAGCAGTCCAACAGGAGGAGCAACCAAAACGAATTGCTAAGGCAGGTATCAAAAGATCTGAAGTTTGAAGGGAGACAGAATGCCAAGGCTGTTTGCCATCTACACTTTGAAGTACTTACAGTACTATTAATATTCTATATCTTATATAAATGGAATTAAAAAGAAAGTGAGAGGCATTACAATGTGAAGCTGAACACAGCTTTATACAATAGCCTATAGTTTGTACTTGAAAGCATTACCCTTTAAACTTCACTGGCATTTTTTTTCAGACAAAAAGTTCTAAAGCATTCTGATTAGTATCTACTCTGTTACCAAGTGGTTAGATGGGAAAATGTTGAAAGCTTTGAAATATGGCTATAGAGGGATTTCCTGTATTCATATCATTAGACATGCCATTCAACTAATTGGCATAACCAGTTAAAAAAAACAATTTTGAGTTATTTGATTTGGCTGAAAGGTCATTTATTAACTAAATTCCTTTTATAAGGAAAGGTATGTTTGAAAGACTTTTTCTAGTAAGATCTACAACTATGCTAGCAGATTTGGAATGCTGTTAATGAATGCTTGCTTGAAATAACACATGAGCATTGGGGAGATAATTTTAAGGAGATTAATGTATGACTTTACGAAGAGATGACACATTTGTTTCCAAATCCAGTGTAAAGAAATGTGTTTGTGTATTTTTCAAAATTAATTAGTTTAGAAAATTATCGTTATTTACAAGGAATTAACCTTGTGCTTTGAATGAGCATTTAGTGACATCAAAACCAAAGGAATGCATTACTAGCATAAGATGGTTTCAATTTTTCCCCTGGTATAGAATATGCAGCTTTAAAGCAGGAAGGAATGAAAGAATATTTAATTTACTTAAAAAAAAGTTACTCCTCTGTTTAACAGATTAAAATATTTGTAAAGCTGATTCAATATATTTATGTTTCATGCCAATTTCATTATTCAGTCATCTGACCCTAGTGTGTATAAATTAAGCAGTACTGTCAGAATACAAATAACTTGGTGCCACATTTATTTCTCTCAGTTTTGTTCTGACATCATGGAAGAACTCGACACATTGCTTCCATTGGCTCTGGCCTGCAGAGATGATTCTCTACAGGAAATTAGAGCAAACTTTGTAGAGGCCTGCAGCAAAGTGGCAACGGCTGTTCTGGCAAGACTAGAGGAGAAAAGCAAAGATGTTCCCTTGAAGGCTCCCCTGCAAGACTTGTATGCTGCCCTTTCCACGGCAATATATGTCTTTCAGCATTTTACAATGTACAGCAATTTAATGAGAGAAACAAGCAAAAAGTATGTCCTTTTTACTTAAAATGTTTAATTCAAATGCAAATAATATGGGAGTTCATTCCATTTTGGTGATACTGTGTGGTAGTGTGCTGGTAGTTTCCCAAATTGCATCATATTTTTTAGCACATGCAGTATGTGTACTATTTTACGGAAATACCGGAATCAACCTGATAGTCCACAGCAGCCATTGCAAGACAAATTATTTATGTGTAGGATCTGCATTTGATTTGCAGATCGGGTTTTTTTTAATGATTAAATTTGAGAAAATAGGATTTTCCAGGGAACTGAATGTACTGTGCTGTCATATAAAGTGCTAAGGCCTTGACTTCCTTTTCTGACCTTTGTAATGCCTAATATTCATAAGATCTGCAGGACATAGCCGTCATAGAGGACAATATAAAAATACATTTCTGTTCTTTTTAACACCATGTGTATTCAGACATGTGAAGAAATACATACAATATAATGCATACAATACATTGTAGTTTTATAATTTAGTTTATTATTACATGCAGAAAAAAAATTAAAGCAGATATGAAGTCGGAGTGTAAAGTCAAAGGCAGTGTTTGACCTGGCAGGAAATACAACTGCACTTGCTTTTAGGAGATTTTGTCTTAACACATTTGTACTAGGAGGCTGTTGGTCCACATATTTCCAGCCATGTGCAATCTAAAAGTAGAAACAGTGGTTTTGGGGAGGGACCCTGAAACAGCACAATTCCTAAGAAAAGTATGATTTCTGAGTGGGTATATGCACTGTTGAGCTGCTTTCCCTCTGATGTTTTACTGTCTCTTGCATGAAGTGTATCACTGTGAGTGGAAAGTCTGACCTAAAATACTGCTCAATAATTCTACTCAGATGTATTATCAAAGAGTTTTAGTACATACCTACCAAAAGCAATTTCTGTACTCTGTGCTTACGTGTTTTTTGTCACACTCAGTGCTGATGTAATAATTGCTGATGCAAGAATGCTGCAATTAAAAACTCCAAATAAGTGAATGTCAAATGTACTTATCTCAGAAAATAGGATGAAGTAATTTATTTCTCAGTGATTGGTTAAATGACAAGTTATAGACAAGCAGACGTATTTTGAGAACTTTTGAAACAAAAATTTACAAACCTGAATGCTAGGTTCAGGACCAAGAGGAAATGAATGATTGATACCTACTAATAAAAACTATTTGCAGTACTAGGGATTGTTACCTCCTAGTGCATAGCCTTTCATTCATTGTCTTTTTAATGATTCTCTCTGAACAGACCCCTCTTCCTAGTGCCTATCCAAAAATGTCAGGAATTTATCAACACTCTCCAGTTTCAAGTTACAAACTACTGCATCAGAGTTTGTGCTACGAGCATTTTGCAGGATGCTGAGAGCCACTGCTGGGATGACTACAAAGCTTTTTACGAGGTATGAGGTTAAGTTTACTATGGCTCCCTTTTACAAAATGTGTTTTAGTGTTTGCCAGCTCACTGGCTAATCAGAAGCATGAGATCAGCATTGTTTTTACATAAGGATTATTGGAATGTACTATTTTGAAATATCTATTATTGCAGGCAGGTGTTTATTTAGAGATGATGTAGGAAAACATAGTCATTTAAAGATGAGATAGATTGTTACCATGGCAGGTTTGTGTCATTTACTTCATAAAATATTCATTGTGTGTCAAGGCGTTTATATAGAACTCAGTAAAGAGGACACCATCACCTTAATCTCTAAGAACTTTGCACTTCTTTTAGAAAGTGTGATATATGAAGATCTTTTTCTGGGAATTTTTTTATCTGATTCTTTGATTTTTATTTTCAATTGTTTCCCTTTTTACTTTTTGTGAGTAAAGGGTGAAACAAAGAAACACGTTCAATATAGTTACCTAAAGCATTCAGCAATATATTTTTGAAATAGCCAGTGCCATTTCACCTGCATCTTGAAGTAATGGGTCTGATCTATAGCTATAATCCTTATAATTCTGATAAAAAAATTAAGATAATTATTTCATTTATTGGATTTTTTTCCTTCATCCTAGTTAAATACAAACATAGGTTGACATACACTGTTTGAAATTATTTTCACTTAATTGCAGGGTGATGTATTACATGGATTTTTAATCAATAATAACTGAAATCTACTGGAGACAAAGTCTTGTCCTTCCTTATATAATTTTCCGTGTGAGACAATTAGTGTGTTCTGTTAAGCATTTTCTAGAATTCTTACATGAGAGAAAATTCCACCTGATAGATGTAATCTACAGTTACCATATAAGAATCTGCTCAGTCAGTGACAAAATCTTTGCTGGACAGGGCATACAAACCATAGAGTAATTTATCAAAATGTCCGTCTCTCAAAGACAAGTAAATAAACATTTCAGTTTTGTTTGAATGATAGATGATAAGGCAGTGGGTTTTGACAACTGCTGAATCATGGTATGTTCTTCATTGTCTGTAGTGCCTGTGGTGCTGTGTCCTGTTTACTGGTGATCCAGTAACTTTACCAGTTGTCTCACAAGAAAGAATATGGAGTAGCTAAACAGTTTTATCATTACTGAGCAGAACTGATGTGTGTGGGAGGAGTGAGGAAAACTGGTGTCTCAGCTCTGTATGTTTACAGGATTTGAGGCGTATATAATTTTACATCATCACTCCTCTTTTTACTGGTCCATGGGAGATGGCCCAGGGCTGGACTGTGATCTGCTCTGAGTTCCTTCAGGAGGCATGCTGCAGAGCAGATGTTACTTCAGTTGATCTCTTGTAGGCATCCTAAATGGAAGAGATTGGATTAAGATCTATTGCTTGTTACAGAGGCAATTCCCTGCTGAAACTTCCAGCAGTGAGAGGTGGCTTCTTCCAGTGTAGGAGCTCAGCGGGAAGAGTGCGCCACTCGGCCAGCTCTTCAGATTATGTTTTTGAATGAAGCTCTTAGTGTAGCAGACATCTGCTGTAGCTGTGGGAACTTACGTTTTCTAACAGGCAAAGAATAAAGAATTGTCTGTTCAGAGGTAATGCTGAGTGGCTTGTGTAATAAAACAGCTGCTTGTTTCCTCATATTTAAGCTAAATAAAAGCTCCCATCTGTTTTTATTATATGAAGCCTGCAAAAATAGCAGATGTTTATCAGTGGAATTGTCCAGAAATGGCAGCAAATAGAAACACAGGTCAGAAAAGGGGAGTGAATCTTGTTTAAATCTTCAGTGATATTGTTATTTCTGCAGTGGAGGTAAAATACTAAAAAAGGGGAAAAGAGCTGTTACTTAAGTAAACCAAAGCAGAGGAAGTGAAACAATTTGTGTTTATAATTACAAAGTAAAACTGGTCAACAAGCTTGTTTATTTTGTTCTTTGTCATATTTTTTGCCACTTTTTAATATAAAATGTACTTCAAGTATTGTGTCAGAGGAAAACTAAATAGTGACAACTTCCAATAATTTGCTAATGCTCGTGCTAATATATTTTTAAAAAAGCCTGATTATTTTTTATTTTATTGTTAAAGAATGCCTATCAAATTCTAAAAGCATTGTAAAAATTGGGGGGTTATTTTATATTTCTAATAATGCCAAAATATCAATAAATTCTTAAAATATTTTTCAGTTCCTTTGGGATGTGGGAACTGGAGATTGAAGTCTCTGTTCTCAAAAAAGCTTCATGATAATGCTATTTGCTGAATAGGTATTAGTTGAAATATTTAAATGTGAAACATATTTCCTGGGTAATTTTTAGAATTATTATGAAGTAACTGCTGTGATTTTGACTCCTGCATATTTATTTCTGTGTCTTAATGGGATAGATCTGTTTAGACAATGAAATATTAATGCCAATGATGTTTCCTTGCCAGAAAATGTTTGGTTTCAATACATCCAAATTACAAGACGAAAAAATATCTTAGTAAAGCAATCTGGATATCTCATATTGTCAGTTTAATAGTTCAGTTGTTCTTATCTCTTCTCTTCTCTTCTCTTCTCTTCTCTTCTCTTCTCTTCTCTTCTCTTCTCTTCTCTTCTCTTCTCTTCTCTCATACCTATTATATATAACCAAGGTTTTATAGTCATGGTTATGCATAGCATTTCTGCATCTGGATAAATACAAATGATTAAGTAATTTAAATAATTATTTTCTTTGCAGGCAAAGAAACTGCTATGTTAAGTTTATCTGACTATTCAGTGGTGTACAGAATACTATGTTTTTAAACTAAACACCATGGGTTTTGAGATTATAAAAGAATATAATTCAGGATATAAAAGTTCAAATGCTGTGGTTTTATTTTGTGGCAGCACTGTAATTTTGTGACTGAAATGCAACATTGTTTCCTTGCAAATAAAGATGTCTCACATCTTTTCAAGCACCATTTTTGGCCATCCTATTCCTGGAACTCTTTAACTATTTCCTTTCAGATTTAATTAAATAGAACTGTAAGAGTTAAATTGACATTTTGGAAGGGGTGGATTTTTTGTGTAATGTGTGGTGGTTTTGATAGGGGGAAAGATGCTCATTCTCTGTCCAGATGTGGCATTACTTCTGCTGTGCTCTTCATCATGATCTATGGACTATTCTACCTCCAAAGACAGCCCAGGAGATTCTTACAGATGTACTAGAGCGATCTTTGGATATGCTATGCTCCAGATATTGTCAGGTGTGTCCCAGCTACAAAAGAACACCACAAATCAGGTAATGGTTGTATATTTAATACACCATTTTGATGGATTAGAGAAGTAAATGTTAGTCTTCTGTTATTTACTGCTTTGATGCAAATTCAATGTTAATGAACACAGCAGAGGGGATAGACTGAATCTATGCATTTTGATGTTTGTTTTAATAAAATTTACTTTGTGTTTTTAAGTATACTTAGTAGTTATATTGCAAACTGGGCAGAATTGAAGGCCTCGCAACTCTGTCAAATTGTTCCATAAACTGCTTGATTGGTTTGAAAGTCTCACAATGAAAGTTCATAGAGGATTGGTGATGCAACCAAAAATGTGGATAGAATTGACAATGTCAGGATTAGAAATCAAGCTGTTGATTTATTAAGAAAATTTAATGAGTTCCCGTAGAATCCATGGTTTTATAGAGCTTTTCAAGTGAAAGAACTACAACATTTGTTTTGATGTGACCTTGTAGTAGATGCCAGTGGTGTAGATGGAGAGAGGAGAAAGAGGCTATTCCTTTTTCTGTCATTTTAAAAAATAAGAAATGGGAAGTTTTTCCTGTTGCAATTCTTACGTTTTGCCAGAGAGTACGGTCTTTTTTAGAAATACTAAAGCAGGTGTCTTCAAGTGAAAGTTAACCCTACCTTTGTCCTTTCTATCCAATGTCGTGTTTTACTGAATAAATAGGTGTTCTTCTCCTAACAGAATGGGTGAGATTGGAAGGACCACAGTGGATCATCTGGTCCAACCTCCCTACTCAAGCAGGGCTATCCCAGAGTACATAGCACAAGGCCAAGTCAGACAGTCCTCTTAGATGTCTCCAGTGAGGGACAATCCGCAGCCTCTCTGGGCACTCTGTTCCAGTGCTTGGTCATCCACACAGTAAGGAAGTTCTTCCTCATATTCAGGTGGAACTTCCTGTGCACAATTTCTGGCCACTGCCTTTAGTACTGTTGCACAGCACCACCTAGAAGAGTTAAAGAGCTTGCAGTTTTAGAGGGCTGGAGATGCTTACCAGGTCCATGCTCTGTGTGACTAAGAGTTATGTGCTGTCATCTCAAGTTTTATTATGAAAAGGAGTGTTGTCATGAAAGCTCAAGTAACTTGCACAAGATCACATTCTTAAAATGGGTAGGAAAAAATGGAATTTTATACTATGTACCTATTTGTCTGCTCTGCTCCTGCAATAACTCACTGTAATTAGGCTGTTCTGTAACTTTTGGTACAAAGAGATTTTCTGAAAACTTGCCTGGAAATTTTTTTGGGGAAAAAGTTCCCCAAATATGCATTTTTCATATGAAATATGAAAAATGCAATATTACCAAAGTGTCATACTAGTGAATTCTATATGAATTTACGTCAAACTACTGAACAAGAAAAAACTTTTTATGTTGTCATTTTGTGGAAAAGTTGTATATTCGTTAGTGTGATTCTTGAATTTTTCACTAAGTAAATTGAACTATCCAGTCATAATTGAATGGAAAAAATACTCAATACATTTTTATCACAGACTCTTTACATGTTTTTTAAATATTGTTGTCGTTTGTGGGAGTATCTTTTCTCCCAATGGTTCTTCAAATGGTAGAGAACTGATGTATGATATGGACAAATGTCTGTTTACGTGTGTTTGTCTAGATTCTTCAAAAATAACATATTCCTTAAAAATGCATATGATCACAGGTGGATCCATGGCTTTTAGGTACTTAAGTAGTTTTTCAAGTCCAACTTCATACCTCCCATATTTTTTGTGTTATTCACGTTTCCTCTGCATTGTATGTCATAATTGTTGTGTTGTCGTAGTTTGAGTTCTTGCTGTTGTTCAGACCAATGACATGTGGTGGTCTGCCAACCAGTATCAATAAGCAATAGATTACTGACTCAGAAATGTTCCACATTGTACAATGTTGCATGGAGTTAGTTTTGCAAATTGAAGATTAAGTTACTTTGTTCCTATTTTTTGCCCCATCAGGATTTGAAAATAGTAGGTGCATTTTAATGATAAGAAAACAAAACTAATATTTATTTACTTGTAGTTTAGGAAGTAAATTGTTCATACCTAGTGACACTGTCATTTCAGAAAGGATATTTTCAAAATTTTTAAATATTCTTTTTACTAGTTTCAGTAACAACTTCTCTGTGAAAGAGTTGATTTTTACAGAGTAGTGGATGGAGACTTTCTGCATCACTGAACAGGAAATTTTAAAAGTCCATGCTATGATTTTGGTGTTTCATCCTGTCAGAGAAAATGTCTGTTTAATTGGAATTTACCACTATAAAGATGTTTTAAGTAATGTTATTCTTGGGCTTTTTTTCCTACAGAGTTGATATTGCAGCAATTTTGATGTCCACTGAAGATATGCTCTGGTCAATTTGTAGTTCTGTGCAGGAGTTTCTGAATCCACACAAAGACAGAAATCTCAAGATCTATAAAATACATAGCCACTGCAATAGTCTGATATCCGTGCTGGCTATTTTAACTTCACCATTGAAGAATTTGTATGAGTGAGTATGAAGTAAACATTTAATTTGAGATAAAGTTGGTTCTTGAGCTTACCTGGATAGATCTAGAAGGGTGAATTTTTGTGTTGAAATCAAATGTAATGCATAGTATTGGCACATTTTAATAGTCTTTGACTATTTCCCAATTTGATCCCATACTTATATTTGTGATCTTGCCTAAAGCCCAGTTATATCTGCTGAGATTTTATTAGCTTTGGATCAAACTCTGGTGCTGTACTTTTTTTTTTTTTCTGTTAATAACATAGACCATAGTAAATGTCTGGGTTTATTTCCTCTGTGAGAAAACCAGTAGAATTTAATTAATTTTTACTGCCCCAAATTTGCAATTTATTTTTCCAGTTAGGACATATTTCTTTTTAAATATGGTCTTACTGATCTGAAAACATTTACTACTATGGTACCAAATACTTTGGCAAGCAGGTTGTCAAATCCCTCATGTTGTCAGTCTTCTAGAAGTATTGGAATGTAAAGGTAATTTACTAAAATGATCATCTGGTTACACGACCAGTATGCTGCAGCAAATGTAGTAAAATGTAAGAATATGGAGTGCCCATATTTATAAAATCATGGTTTCACAAGTCACAACTGTAAAAAATGGACATGTAACTTGCACTGAAATTTGGTCTGAGTTTTTGTTGATAAAATTAATCTGTAAATTTGCTGTAAGAGACAATGCAAAGCGAGATCACAAATTTAAAAAAGAGGAACAACAAAGCCCCAAACTAATGAAGCCACATCCTATTCAACTGGCTTTTACTTTGTTATTCAAAATAAGAAAAATTCTAGGTGGTACTAGGGTGGAGACCTCCTGCATATAAGCCTCTTTAACTAATTTTTTTTTGTCATGTGTGGGCTCATTTTAATATTTGTGGCCTCTAAAGAACATGCAAAACTGGATTGTACCCGATTGTTTGATCTTATGTACCACAGGCTTATGAATAGATAGCAATTTTGATGGTGGCTCAGAAATAGATTAGGTAGTCCTGCTATGGCAGTAGAAATGGAGGCAAGAAAGGATTACAGTGGCTGTAACTGCTTCTACTGTCGCTTTTGACATTTCATCTTTCTTTTATGAAAGGCCTTAAAATGATAGACCCTAGTAAATATGCAGTATAATTTGTTCCTTTAAGCGATTCTAGTCTCCTCCACTGATCAGTGTTGTTTACATATTTGTGTATACGTAGCATGACAAAAAATGTGTGCTTGCTGGAGAACTCACAGAGTTTCAGAACAAAGTGCCCATGAAAAGCTTGGTTTCTATTTTATGTAAAATGCTGCAGGTAAACATCTTGGTCATATAGCTTGAAGAGTTAGGGATGTGAATTTCATTACCTGAATTTGCTTATCTGGAGATCAAAACCTTGACATGTGCTGAATGTAGCAGCTCCTTTCATTTACTACAAAGTACTGTGCAAATCACCACCAAAATATGGCAGCTCTGTTTAAAGAGAATACAAAAAATTGTCTTATTTTGTTACATAGTTACAAAAATAATATTAACTGAAGATCATTTCCATATAGATTATACATGTTTTATAGTAAGTAAAATTGTATTTTTTTTTTAACTTCTATTCAGACCTTGTGTTTTCACAATCTGTGAGGCCCCCATTATCAAAACAATTTTTTTATATTCTGTATTTAATTGCAGTCAATATTTGTCAAGTAACCTAGTCCAGTGTCCAGAGTACAAAGAGGAAAGTGGTTTAGCCAATCAGCTTCTTAAATTACTATATTCAATTGGAAACACCTTGATATAGTGAATTTTAGGTAAAGTACCTAGGTGTAATGTTTATTAGGGTATGCATAGTTCATTACATTAGGAATCTATCAATAATAAATTCAAAAGTTACACCTGATTTTAAAGGAATATTAATCTTTCATCAATTCTCTCTGCAATTAGATAGTATTATCACAATTTCCATCTTGTCTTGGCTCTATATCTTTCACGCCTTCGGTAAAGTTAACTGGAAGTGAAATCTTTTCTTTTAAATCTATTATGCTCTCTTTTTGTACTGGAAGTTTTCCCTTAAGTGACTAGAAGTCAATTAATCTTTAGACTTTTCAGGGAAATTCAGTGTAATCAGAAAAGTGACAATGATGAAACATTGTTTTCCAGTAGTTGTGTAATAATATGACTGGTTCATTTTCGACTTACTAGAGAGGCTGTATTCTCTATTGCTTAAGAGAACTGAAATTATTTCAATTTCTTAATTATTTTGTGGAAATTGCTTAAAACAGTAATGGTGGTGAAAAATTGGTAATATCCTTAACTTTAGATAAGGTGATTCTGTTCTCTCATTCCTAATATTGTGATCTAGACTTTCTTTTCTGTATGACAAGGTTACTTAGATCTGGTCCGAAATTCATCTGTGAATCTCTTGGGTCATCTAGGTTTAATTTTTTTTTCTATGGGTTTTTTCTATGCCTCATTTTTTCTCCATCCTTCTGTGGCTTTCCTGAAGTATCTTTAGCATAATGGAAATGTTGGTTGGAAAGGACTGCTGGAAGTTGTCTAATCTAGCCTCCTCCTCAAAGCAGAACAATCACCAGGAGCAGTCAAACATGACTGTGTTTGACCGACTTAACTGACACATGCCAGCCTCCAGGAACTGAAGTTTTCCGACTTCTTGTGAGGCGTGCTCTGCAGCTGCAATGCCTTAGTGCAAAATATTGCCTCATATCAAGTGTGAGCCCTCAAAGCTGCTGGCTATAATTTGCTGTATCACGTCAGCATAACTGGGTAAAGTTGGTCAGTGTTGTCTTCGTAATTACTGCTTGGGTGGTTGTAGGCTGCCATTACATGAATCAACACTTTAGCCACCTCTTCACCGGGTAAAGGAGTCTAGGGCCCTCAAACATTTTTTACACATGATTCAGTTTAGTCTTCTCCAGTTTTCTCACATACTCCTTGAACTGTAGGCCCAGAGGCTGGACAAAATATTCTAGGTAAGGCTTAAACTGTTGACAAGCAGATGAAGTAAATCACTATCTTTGTTTTAGTTGCTGTGTTCCTGCCTAGTGTGTGGTTTGCATTTTTCTAGTGATAATACACTGTTGCATTGTCTTCAGTACCTACTGCCCATAAATCCCAGGTTTGTGGCTGGGTAGAGTGGCACTTAGACAAGTCAGTTCCCAACCTAGGTTATTGTAATTCTGTAGCTGAAGCAAACAGTTGCTCTTTACCTCAGTCAATTTTGTGAAATTCTGTTGGCCCAGGTGTCCATGAGTAGGCACTCAGCTGTTTGTTAACTACTGGGTCTGCTTCCCCCAATTTAGTGTCACCTGAAAATCTGCTAAGCAACTGCTCTCTGTTGACTTTTGTCCACGTTATTGAGGACCTGGTGAACAGTGAGTCTCTAGAATGTGCTCCTCAAATATATTGAGTGTTGCTATTTTCTTGCTGCTTACTCAAAGCTCTGAAATATGAGGATTTTCATAATTCTGAATTTCCAATCATCATAGTCTTACTTGCGGACAAGATTGTTGTCAGTTACTCAGTTCTAGTAGCTGGGGTTTCATGTAGAGGATCACACAGTTTCAGTGCTGCCTGTGAATACATAGGAGAGTCCAATGCCATTCTTTAGTCATAAGATTATAGAGGAGTAAATTACCTGGGCCTTACTCTCTTCTGCCTCAGGTTCGGGATTGCTCAGTTTGGAGCAGATCCATTCTTGTGCCTGTTCTGATATGCTTTAGTCTTTATGCTGGGTAGGGGACGATAGTCTGTAAAGGTAGAATATAAAGAGGAAGGTAGATGCACCTTTTTGTGATTTCATAGTATGAATTGTTATATCTTATTTTCTCAACAAGAAATCAAGTAAATTATTTAAACGCTGAGAGAATCATATAGAGAGTTTATTGGCAAAATTGTTCCCTATTGTTGTAAATTCAATGTTATTTGCTATTAAAGACTGACATTTCTCTTTAATATATGAGTTATAACTCATGAAGCTGCTTTTTTAGTAATGTTTATTGGTTATACAGAGAGAAATCATACAAACTACGAAGAAATAGTGTTAGGATGCACCTTGCTGGCATCTCATTTCTTCACACCTGCACTCAGGCTTACAGGGTCAATTCTCACCCTGTCATACTCTACTGAGAAATAAAAACACTATAACTTGAAATCTTGCTTTGGTATTAAATCAGCTATCCAGTGCTTTGAGATAATAGGTAGCTGGTTTAGCATAACTTGAAGCAAAAACAAATGTCCTATTAGCTATTATTATACTTCTATCAGAAGAGTAGTTGAGTTCAACAGTCTGGCACAGAGTTGTTTCTTTCCTGGTAAGAATTACCTAGCCAGCATTGGACATTAAAAAATGCTGTCATGAGAATTACTGTATTATCATCAGACACTTGATTTTTAATAGTATTTGAAGCTATTCTAATATTTAAATAATCTCTAAAACCCTTAGATTATCTCTACCTCACTTTAAAAATTTCTATAGAGATTTTGGTATAAGCAAGTAAGTCAGAATCCAAAAATCTGCCCTGTGCTTCTCCTTAGGATATGGCTAAGGCTCCTTAGGAAACAGCCAAGTCACACTTAGCAAGCTGCTTTAGTCCAGAATTCTGTCAAACAGTTCCTACACAAGCAATAGACAAGATGTGGTCCTCTTTTTTTAAATCAGATTGCTAACCAAGATGTATTTATCACACTTTTGTGTAGGATGTTTGCTCTATACTTTGCTATATTCAGAAAAAATATTTCAGTGGATGAGAGACAATAAGATTTGTTTTTTACTTTCATAATATTGAAATTACTGTCCTTAAAATAATTCTTTTCAAGTTGGCATTCTTCTTTTGGCTATATTAGAATCTCAGCTTTATTTTTAATCTTCAGGTTTTCATGAGTTCATAAACAGCACAAATTGACTGTGCTAATCCTTCTGCTCAGATTTTGCTTACTTCAGGTCTGTATTAAATTATTTCTATTTTTTTTTTATTAGCAAGAGTGCTTTCCAAATAAAACAGCCTATCTTTTGGAGAAGTTCAGAAACAGCTACCTTTCTTTTTGAAAAACTATAATTCTCTCTCTTCTTTCATCTGAGTCTAATAGACATGTAGCTATAGTTCTGAATTACTTCAGATGAAAGATAAAAAATTCACAGTAAGATGAAAAGTAAGGTGCTTGTGAAGTGATAATTGTTTATATTTAATGGAGGATGCATGTAACAGGCTGGAATTCCTCTCTGGTGGAATTGTAGACAACGTAAATGAAAATAAAAAGGGAAGAGGCCAAGGGGCATCCATTACTGTCACACATTATTGAATCATATTGGCTGCTAGAAAATTGTACAAATACTAATAATTTATTACTAAACAATAATTAAAGGCAAATATTAAATTATAGAATTCTGTTCTTACACACATCTGTAATCCTATCATATAATTAATTAATAAAATATTTCATTTTTAGTTTCCATAGATTTTGCCTCTCACATCATTTAAGTAAGTAAAGTATTGCAAAAGTGATATCTAGTCACAATCCAGTTCTTCTCTAGTCCTTTATATTTGAAGACAACCAGTATTCCATTTCTCTCAAGCCAGTGAAAGTCCAAAGCTTCTGGTTCAAATTTTTGCCCGGTATGATCCAAAGTCTATATACACTTGCATGTCAATCAGTATCATTTCAAAAGTTACTTTACATATCGTTATTATAAAAGTGTTGAAAATACTATGCATTTTTGTTAGGCAGGAAGAAAAGAGCTATAGAAATGAATGACTGAAGAGAAATCTCCTTATTGAATACATTTTCAAACATAGTTTGAAAATGTATTAGATAGGAATAAAAATATGAAGAAAACTTGAATAACAGTTGTTAGATACCGAGTTTCAAAGAGTGAAAGTGAATAAAAATATAGAATTTTATTTGTTACAGTACATAGGGTTGCAATAATGTGTTTGCACACATATATTAATGGTATTTATCATAAGGTATTTTCTGTCTTCTATTCATGTAGACATAATTAATAGTAGTGGTCTAAGGGGATTTTCAGTCTCCCTAGTAATTTGGAAGTATTTGTTTTCTTTCAGGACATTTGTGGATAATTCTGATGAACATCTTCCTCAAGATTTTTCAGAAGTCTTTTATCATCCATTACACTGGTTATTTTGCATACCGTCATCCTGTTTTTTCTTTCAAAAGTGAGTATCAAAAGTTGACTGTTCTAAAAGGATCACAAACGGAGGCCATTTTCCATGGGAAAAAGAAGTCATTTCCCCAGGTTCTGGGTATCAGATTAAAGGTGGCATTTGGAGATTTAAGGGTCCAAATCTCCAAATGCCAGGGTCCTAGTTGCTGGCAGCTTTAGTTTTGGAGAAATCCAGCAAAGTTTGCCAATTTCTGGCTTCACACGGCCCAGTCGGCCGGGGCGAGTGGCCGCAAACGGAGGCCATTTTCCATGGGAAAAAGAAGTCAGTATTAGTCAAATATTGTTACATTTTGAAGAGCACATCTGAATCAATGTCTAATTAATATTCTAATTTTTAGAAGTCATAGAAGCATTTTTTAATTAATTACATATTTTTCTAATATTTGAAAGTCTGAGGAAAAGTTGCACTGAAAGCACTGTATTTTGTTAGTCTATTAATTATGTTTGAGATTTGAATTATCTGTAAGGTTTTCTGGCTTTAATTAAAGACTATAGAGTTCTTGATAAAACAGAAATTCAGCACAGTTGCTGTTTTGAAGGACTTATAATTAAACGGGAGATAAAGAATGTATGTCTTTCTCTTTAGGATTGCTGTATAAAAATAAATATTTGGTACATAAATAACTCATTTAACAATATGCTGCTTGATTGTAGTTGAATTTTTTGGAGATTATTGAATGATTAGAAGCAAAGGCTTAACTTCTCTCTGTCACTGCATATGAGGACAAGTGACATAGAAGGTAGATACTACCAGCTGTGCTGTTGTTTGCTTTCTAATTTTGAAACAGAAGCACTCCCACACCAGTGTAGATCCTCTCCTAACCCTTTCACCTCCCTCTCCTCTTTTTCAAGGTTATTTCCTGAGAGGTTTTCACTCTCCATTTTCATGAAAAGCTGCTTTTGTGAGATGTTACTGTGTTTTCCAAGAAAGTATTTTTATTTTTTGGAGGAGTACATTATCAAATGACTGGTGACCTATGGATGACCCATGTGCTTTGGATTTATTACCTCTTTCCTTGTACACACAGCATCTTTTACCCTGAATATGTAAATATCTTCCCTATAATTTTGCTCCATACTACACAAAACATGATGATTTCTCTCCATAGGCTCCACTCCTAACTACGTGTCATCAATCCTCTTCTCTCCTTCCCTAGTGCCTCTGATATCTGCTGAACCAGAGACAATATGTGTTGTCACTGCATCAAAAACATGTGGTTTGCTAACTACACGCCAAACAGAGTTGAATAACTGTGAATTCAGAATATGTCCTGCTTGAAATAGTAATTTAAGTTCTTATAAAGCATGAAAGATCATGTGTGTTTATCAAGCTTCAAGGAACTTTGTCAGTCACTTTTTAAGTTATGCATGGTTGGAGAAAAAGGAGAAGGATGGATAGAGTAGAGGGAATGACTGCATTAGAAAGGAATCTAGTCATCCATTTCTGGAAAATTTATGCTCCATTAAGTATTCATTGTAGAAAAGACAATATGTTTTTTGATGCCCTCATGCACGGCCAGATCTCAAAATATAAATTATACTGTGAAGTATGAGTTTTGGAAGATGATTTTGTGACTGAGTACCCTATACTGTGTAACAGTATATAAGGAAATGCTGGTACCATTTCGGTCTGACATAATTATCTTTTTTGAGGTGGAATTAAGATAGATAAAAATAAATAACAGAAAACTATTCCAGAGCTATGTAGTGTGCACTTATTTTCTGTGGAAGAAAGTTACTAAAATACCCTACTTCTCAGTCACCAAACAGGAAAATACTAAGTACAAAAGAAAGTACATCTCTGAGAAGATCCAGTCAGTGTACCTTTGTGAGAAAAGTCTGTATATAGAGAGAGCCTTGCATACTCTCCTGGTGATAATGAGCAAACTATATTGGTAAAATACTTATTGTTCCTTTTTAACAACACATCTTTCAGCTGCTCGGGAAAAAAAATTAAGGGCTCTGAATCTAATGAGTAATTCTGAGGTGTTCTAGTTTTTTCATTGGTTTTATACTCTATGTGAATGAAACATTTTTCCCCTTCAAATACTGCCTTGAGAATATTATAAAGAAACATCATATTTAACTACTGCAGAAAATGATATTTCAGAGCATCCTAATTATTCATGGGTTCTTTTCTGATTTTGCATCTTATATCTAATTAAAATATATGTTCACTGTCTGTAACAAAATTGGAAGCACAGGCCATTGTATACCTCTCAACTGTGGCCACCTGATTTTGAACGGACAACACTAACCTGTCATACATTTAGCTATTAAGTATTTAGTCTTCCTAAGCTTGCTATTTCAGAAAAAAGTTTTGCTAGTTCCTGAAAGTACTTTGTTTACTATGTAACATGATTTCCTACATTATTTTTCATTGCTGCAAATGGCTACAGTCTGTTTAATTTTATCAATTTGACTCCAAAATCAGTGCCAAGATTGTTACCATGAATTAGCATATCTACCTGCCTTATAACATCTTGAACTTAGAACATGAGATTTTCTTTCTTTCTATTTTGAATAGAAACCAAAATAATATAGTTGGTTATCAAACTAAAGAGTTACTGATAATTTATGTTGCAGTTCTTTTAGTGATAATAATTAACTTATTTATTTATTTAGATATATTTATTTAGTTAGTAATTGTGATTCCTTCAGTGTTAATTGTGATTTGTTCTTTGCCTCATTTGGGGTTTATAATCATAGCATTTGCAAATCAAAGTTAGAGTTTTTTCCTTGTACTGTACAAAATGGGACATTTATATGTGTGATATTTATATGTACTTCACCTTTTGTCACTTTTTATGAGGCTAGTCTTATTTTCACTAGTACTGAGCTAAGAGGATGAGAGAACATATGTCTCTCCATATGCACGTTACAAAACTTCTCAGTGCATTTATTGGTGCTAGCTTCATGGCTGTAGGGAATGTCTGCTATATTTTATTTTTCCTCTAAGTGAGTCACACCACTGTACATTTCAATTTGCAAGATGCTTAAAGAGCCAAGAACTGGTGTATATTACAACATGATAACTTCCCATCTGGTCAATGACAGACAGGTTTTTTTTTCAATTCAGATACTTTAAAAATATAATTTATTTCTATAGGAATTTAAAATATTATTCTTCATAAATCTAATTGACTCAAATTGTCACTTATCTTTTAGTTTGAAGGCAATGAGTGACCTTATTAGATAGGAAAACATGACATTAAAAGAAGAGAAAAAAAATTAAACTGGCCTGAATGTTTTAACTGAATTACCAAAGAGTTGAGTTTGCTCTCAGCCATAGCATTAATTCTAGTGTGAATATAGTAACCATTTTAATTTTAACTTTAATTACTAACTACTGATTAGATTATATATAGATTATATATGCATTAGATTATATATATAGGACTAATATTGAACATACAGAAATTAGGATAGTTATTTTAAGAATGCAAAATCCTAATATCTGAATGCAGTATGTATTTTAAATATGGAGAATTTAATTTGACAGCAAGTTCTATCAAGATTTAAATGTATATGTGTAGGTGTTTTTGATAAATACTGCTTGAATCCAATATGTGCTAATATTCAAATATAATTGTAGAGTCAGTGCTACACTGTCAACAAAATATATAAAGTACCAGATGGAAGTCACAAAAGCTGTGCCTAAGGTTTCCTGGCAAAGACATTGTTTATGAAGTTAGAGGTATTTGCTGTAATGTTAAAAGAGCAAAGGCTGAGGTTCCTTTACTAAAATTACTATTAATTACAGTGGAGTTTTGTTATAACAGTGGACTGTAAGGGCCCTGCTGGAAGACAGTGCTATGGTTTCCTTAGGTGGCTTCAAGACTGCCCTGCAAGATATGTGGCATACTGCTTTTTCTGGTAATGGAAACATAGACATCTGAGGGACTAAAGTAGAGGAGTGTATCAGCTGACATTTTCTTTTCCAGAACTAGTAGGTTTGTATTGAGTATATTCTATAAATAGCTGCTTTGATTCAACAGTGAAATACTTGTGCAGTTATCTGGGGGTTTTTTTTGTGTGTATTCAAGCATAGCTGGGAGGTGGCACACTTGGCTAAGTCAGAGGTTGTAAAAGCATGCAACTTAATGGAGAGGTACCCCTCCGGTAGAACTATCACGAGCCCATTTTAATTCTGTCCCAAAAGTTATGTGTAAATGGCATGTAAATTGTTTGAGCAGAGGCATATAAATACTTGTCTAGTCTGACAAAAAAATGTCAGATTGAAAACCTCCCTATGAAGAAGGTTTTAACTGATGCTGAAGGTGCTTTTTGCATACTGGCAGGTAATATTTATACCTGCCCAGTCAATGCATATGAAGTCCTTAAAATCATGCATGTAAAATTCATGTGCATAGAAGTTTATGAGGTGTATAAAGTTTCAATATTATCAACTATTGTATAAATTTGTAGCCAAAAAAGTAAATACAGCAGGTAAACATCTGTTGAAATTTTTTTTTCAAAAAACCTTCAAATTAATAAAAATTTACACATTAAAGGAAAAAATATCCACAATCCAATTTTGAAAACTTGTTTTCAAAAATGTTTCAAGAAGAAAATACTAAATACAATAGGTGATAAACATTTGGCAGGACAGATTTGTTTATTTTTTATTTAACTGTAGTGTGAGTTCAGTGATTGGTCTTAGGTCACTGGCTGTGTTCAGAGGAAGCCCTGGAATAGTATTTGTAAACCTCAATTTTTGCAGAACATGGAAATCACAAGCAGAAAATAAACTGTCATCTTTTTAAAAGCTAATGAATTTGTACTATGCTTTCTCACTTCTCCCTGCTGGTGAAGCAGTAAAACAACCAGTATAATATTTCTTGTGGATTTTTCAGAACACATAAGAATTGCTCAACCTAAAGTGGAATTTTGCAACCCCTTTGAGCATTTTGACTGCCTTTTACTTAAGAGCTTTATACACTTCATCAAGGAGAGACACTGCAAATGTCTTAGTCAACGATTACTGCAATAATAAACTAAAAAATTGTACCCTTACATTTATTCAACTGCAGCAAAAAAAGCCCCTCCTTTTTGCCTAGAAGAACAAAATAGGTACTGTTCCATGAAAGAGATAAACACAGTTGCTTTGTACCAGATTTAACTGTGGCAGACTAACAAATGTCAGTTTTCTTTTAACTAGTTGAAATTAAGTGCAGTTCTTTCTCTGAGCTGCCTTAAAGTAAGGAAGCATGAAAGCATTTTCAGAGTAATCTGGGAGGAGTTGACACTTAAGGGATTTAGTGTTACATCTGCAATTCAAAGATATTAATTTCATAGATAAATTAACTTTATTATTCTTTCTGTCTTTATCTTATATTTTGAAAGGACTTCGTCAGCCAGAGAAATGGCATCCCAAGGTCTGCTGAAGCTGCTCTTATCCCAGCCATACTGTAATTTGAACTTGCTTTTGGAAACATTGCTACACCATGATTGTTTCTTAGTGAAAATTTTGTTGAGAAGCTCAAGTAAGTATTGATATTGTCAATCCACATATGATTATCAGTGAGAAACACAAATTCATTTTTAACTTAAATGCTGGAGGAAGGCTGACAGCCATTTTGAGGGTTAAGTACCCATTTACTTACCAGTAGGACACTTTTTGAATGGGTAAAAAGATAGAAAAATCATCGCTTTTTGAGTGAGAATTTACATAATACACTCAACCAGTGTATTAATAATTTCAAAGCAAACTGCAATTTGATAAAATAGGCTGCTATCATAAATGCAAATGAGTCAAGATTAATTTGAACTTTATGGAGCTTTGATAACACAACTACTGTACACAGGTTTTTAAAAGTGTGGATCAGTAGTCTAAAAGAACACTTTCAAAATTACATTTGAACAGTGGAAACCTTCTTAGATGTTTTGTTGATATTATTATATGCTTGTTGCTGTTGGCATTCTAGAATTACATATATATGCTTCTGCTTGTTAATTCATTAATGCTCTTTTGAAAGTAGAACAAATAAAAGAATATTTCTACAAATTTTTATTTGCATTCTGATGGCATTGGGTTTGAAGCAACAAACTTTATGACATTTTTTCATTAGTAGTTTGCAGATCAAATGGTCATATTGTTGAATAACTAATGGCGTAACCACCTATTTGACTTTATTTTTCAGGAATATGAGAGTCTTGGTTTCTTTATTTTTTTTGCAAACAAATTCTTCCTATTTATCAAAAACTATTAGCTCCACATAATATTGTATATATTTATTTTTATGTTTAAGTGTATTTATCTCTCTATCTATCTATATATAACATGATTTAGTTCTGTCATTTTGTAATGGTCTAATGTTTGTCAGGAGTACATCTATTTCTGTCACACATCTTATTGAGATCTGCAGTGCATACAATTGCCTACTCAAACACATGTCATCTTTTACAAAGGCTGACAAATGTTTGATCAGGGTCAGAGTCTTAACCTAGTGTTATACATATTGAGTTTTACTATCTGTTTAAATTATTACAGGTAATAAGTGACAGAATGTATTAGTCTATTGACTGACCAACCTCTTAAGCTTTAGAGAAATCCATGTGACTTTGAATTACAAAATGTGTTATTTACACAGGCTTTATTAATGTAACTTCAATACTGGAATGAATAAACTTCCAGTTTAGATAAAGTCAATATCTGTGATGATCCATATCATCTAAATTAACTTCAATGGGGTTAATTGTCTAATGACAAAAAATATATATTCTCTATTCCTTCTTGTATACAGCCAAGTATACCATAGTTTTTGAGCAATTTGCCCTAGTGATAACAAGACTCCCTGGTATTTAATTACATAAGAATTTTTTAAGAAGGAAAAGCCTTTTCACATATTTTACACTCAATCTTTCCTTCTCCTTTTAAAAAGAGGCCAAAAGGCAAAAAATCTTAGGTATTGATGAATTTTCCTGTACTGTTTTAAAACTTCGGGATGCTCAAAGTAGACATCGTTCAAACACAATAATTTTCATTGTTCTCCCATTGTTCTCATGGTTGTACCACAGGGAGGTTGAGAAGGAATGTATATTCCCCATCATAGCAGGGAGTATTGTTGTGAATGCCAACAGAGTATTTGTAGAGAAGCTATTTGGGCATGATTCATGTTGCTAAATATTATAAGAAGGATAACATATTTGTTGAAGCTATTAAAACTCCATGCATATAATTATATGCTATCTGGACAGGGAAATTAAAAAAGTGCACTTTTGTAAATTTTTTGTGAGTTAAGATATGTGAAATGTACATAAAAATTAAAATATGGAAATATGATGTTATTGCATCAAAAAGTACTAAAGGTAATAAATCAGGTTACCCAGAACAGAACCTTTTGTTTGTCTTCAGTGCACATAGCTACTGCATAGAGGCAATTTTGAAAAGATGGTTGAAAACTTTGATTTGTGTATTTGACCTCTGTAACAAGCTGAGAGTCTAAATAACCTAGGTGTGTTAAATTACAGTCCCATATAATCTTAGAGGTTTTTTTCAATAGGTCCAACATCCAGCAACTCTTTGTTCAAAACATGTTCTTGAGTGAGTGAAGGGTCTAAGGTCTCTGCTGTGACTTTGCAGAGACCTTAGAGAAAAATAGTGAAGGTAGCTGGTACCATGTTAATTTTCTGACAAAATAAGCTGTTTTGCAATTTACTTGGCAGATTTTTTTTAACCAATATTGCCTTATCATTCATGGATGTGAAATAGAAATTGATTATTTTGATAAGCAAAAAATAATAGAGGAAAAAAGGAAGTAGTGTCTCTATAAAATAAGCAGATGAATCCAGAAGATGCTGATGTCAAAAAGTGAAGGATATAAGTGAATTCTGAGAATTTCTGCTAGATTTGCTCTAAATACACATCATGCCAGTTGAACAGTCTAGGACTTCTTTTTTGATAATCATTATTTCTAGGAATCAGGGGGTTTTCTTTGCACAGTAAAACAAACAGCTATAGCTTTATTGGATTGCACTGGCCCAACACAGGATTAATATGTGTCAGAGGGGATCCCATCAGACAGTAGACCTGGCCATTTATGAATACCAGAAAAGACAGTGGTCACTAAGAAATTGTCACTGAGAAATTGTCAACAAGGCACATTCTAGACCTTCAGTCAGTCTTTGGGTCTCATACATTTGTTTAGGAAGAAATAGTAGTGTCAAGTTGATGAAGAACAACATAAAATGCAGTATATTGCTTTTTAATTTTCAAAATAATCTTATTGATTACCATAAAAACTTGAGACCTCAGTTGTTACAGAAATTTAATTTGTCTTTCTATACACAACCCCAAAGTTAATATTGGCATGTGGAGATAAACTGTAAGAAATCTGCATTCACAGCAGGACCATGCTGTTGGCAGTTTCACCTAATGTTTTTGGCTTGCACAATAGCTATTTGAAAAACTACTAGAAGACAGTATTTTTTAGTCTGTACATCTCAACCTAGATGATATTCGGGGCCCCACTAAAATTTTGAATTAAGAATTGATAGTAATTGACAAATATTCTGTAATAAGTCTAAGGCTGCAAATCTGAAATTGGACCTAAATAAATGTGATTTGCTTCAAAAAGAGATCAATTACCTTGCACATGTAAGAAGTCTGGGGGAGGGAAGATATCCACCAAGAAAATATAATTGTGTGGTGGACCATTATACAGCTTTCTAGACACTAATAGATATTAGGAGTTTCCTAAGACTGTTCTTTTATTCCCCTTTTTCTGGAAAGAGAACTTGGAAATGTATTTGTAGAACTGAAAGATTTTTTTTCCCCACTCCAGTTCTTTGCCTGCTTTGAAACAGTTCTCTAACTGCCACGAAGTATAATGTGTCATTTTAAGGTAAATTTTAAGTACTAATTAATTTTTAATAAAATTTAATACATTACATTTTAGACACATGAAAGTAAATAGCACTGGTTTTTTGTGGGTTACCCTAAAAGTACATTGAAAAGTGGTAGCTTCACTAGTTGACCTCATTGACTGAACTACTAGTGGCAATAATGAGTTATAACAGAAGAAAATGTACATGCCTTACATGAATTACCAACTCCATCAAAACTCTGGCATTGTTAAAATCTGTGACAGTTTTTATTTCAAGTTCTTGAGGGTCATTCTTTCTTCTTGTACTTTCATTGTACTTTCTTGTACTTTCTTCTGATGATTCCTTGGATTTAATAATCCTGTCATGGTCTATTGCATAAGTGAAAAAACTAGCAACCGTTCTAGTTCCATGGCTCAACCACACACCATTTTGGGAAAAGTAGTCTTGCAGATTTTGGTCACAAAACTCAGATGTTGATCTGTAACCCCGCCCTCAATAAGGTGAACAGAGGTAAATCTCATAGAGTAATTTATATCTTTGCTCAGAGACAGATCTCTCCTCCCGGTATTTGTGGATCATCCAATATAAGGCTTGTGGGTACCTCTTTGTGATAGCAGTCTGTATCATGGTAGCCTAATGAAGATTACTTTAAAAGAGGCACCTCCTCAAAAGGTCCTTCTGACCAGTAAGCTTATTGGATTCTGTACCTGCATAAGCAATGAAGGATATACTGAAGTGATATACTTGTAGCTGGAAGATAAGTAAAAAAGGGACCCTAATACAGATATCCTGTTCCATTTGGTGACTTTCCAGTGATAAGCTAAGGAAAACATGGAGTTTCTGAATTGGATTTGGACAGGATTTGGACTGCAGTGGACCCCTGCTGTGAATACCTTACCTTTTCTTGACAGAGTGTGAAGATAGTGTTTGATACGTGTGTGATAGACTTGGTGTCTGTGATATACGGTCATGTGGTTAGCTTTTCAAAGACATAGTAATTTCTGGTAGGAACTTCTTGCTATAGTAGGGATCTTGACTGAGTAAGTTGTAAGAAGGTAAGCTGTTTAGTATCTACCCGAATACATAGAGAAACACTAGGGAGCTAATGTGGCCATAGGACTACATTCAGTATTACCTTATAAAATTTTGGCTGTCAGAATGTCATACTTTCTGCATACTATCCCATAAAATCAGTACTGGAGGTATCCTGACAGTAATGGATTTTTTCTATTGGCCATATATATATCTAAGATAGATTCTACAGAAATCACTAACTCCGAAATTCATTAATGGAAACTTCTTCTCAGATAGTTGAAAATAAATTGTTTAGGGAGAAAATACTCCAAATGCAGTTGAGTTAAATTAAAATGCTGTGGCATTGATGACATGTAAATATATACCTACAGAAGTAGTTTGCTGATATATTAATAATTTATGGGCAGATGATTTAAGCATTTTTAAAGCTTTTTTGGCATGTTGAGGTTTATGATTGTCATAAATTTAGGATTTATTTGATTCATAGATAGCAACTAATACAGGGTTTATTATTATTTGGAATGTATTAAACTGAAACAGGTAGGTTTAATATCTGGGTTTTATTCAGAATAGGAGTAATGTGATCCTGAGATTAGCTTAGTTGGTGAGGACGTGGTGCTGTTAGCAATCAAGGTTGTGGGTTCAATCCCAATATGGGCCATTTACTTAAGAGTTGGACTTGATGACCCTTGTGGGTCCCCTCCAACTCAGAGTATTCTCTGACTCTTCCATAAATCTACAATATAAAATTTCTCCTTGGAATTGAAAACTGAAATAATACACTATCTGCCAAAATGAAACCATGTTCAAAGTTACAATAGAATTTTTGCTGTCAGTGGAGAGGAGCAACTCTGAAAGAAAAGTTAAGTGATCTACCAGGTCAGATACAGTAAGGAACAGAAAAAAAGTCAGTGACAGAAGCAGCACTGAGAATGTAGTGTACTGCAGACTGCCTGCTGAAGTATTTGATTCTATAAACAAATAAAGCATATCCTTTTTACATTCTTTATATCCTTGATCAGTTACTGTAGTTTAAAGAAACCTTTATATTCAATAAAGAAAGCAAAATCTTCATGCTCCTTGCAAATTAAAGACCAGTATCAGAAATAATTTTCCCATCTTCAATTCTTCTTCCTAAGTGAAACAGCATGTATGCATTTGAGTTTTGACTACCTCTTTTGGTCAAAAAAGATAGCATAACTATTTGTATCTTGGCTGACCTGTATGGATTAGCTGGGGAGAGTGAGGTCTAGCATCAGTAACAGGATTTTCTGAATTCAGCAAGATTCATTTCATGGCTAGACTAGTCAGGTAAGTGCTGGATGAGTGATAATGTTGGCAAATTACTAGGTAGTATTTCTATCGGTAAGAAAGAAATGTGGATGAATTGTACTTGTAACTCTGCCTTTCTGAAGTTATGCTTTTAAAATACATGGTAGTATCCCAAGAGATTTAGTGCATTATTTTGTCATAGGAAGAATGATTCATTGTGAATGGTTAGGGCATAGCTTTTATTCAATAGATACATAATTTTCTTATAGAGATATTTATTAAAAAGAATAGTATTCTAATATGTTTTTGTATATTTTGTGCATATAGAACATCATGCTATATGGAAATAACAGACAGCTGATTTTTTTTGTTTTAGCAGGTATCTTGATAAATATATAGCCACATTTATGTATGAATGCTAAGTCTTGCTGAAATAATATGGAAGCATCTCCTTTGAGGTGCCTATGGGAGCTTTAGGTTCCCTTCACAAATTAGCTTCTGCTGTACAAATGCAGTCAGTGAAAAAAATAGAGGGAAGCATCACTGGGCAGTAAGTAAAATACTTATCATATAAATTCTGTTCTATGTAATAATTAACAAGAAGACTGCATTGGAGTTCAAGCTGATATGAATATTTAATGTTATGACAGGTGAACTAATAAATGTAAAAGAAAAACATCTAAGGCAAGAGAAATCAACGTATTTTTCTGTAGACTCCTAATTCATAATATTTAAGTCAGCTATACTGATCTGCTAGCTAAACTTTTCAAATGACATTATCATTTAAGGTCCCTTCTAACCCAAGGGATTCTGTGATTCCATGATCCATGCCCACTTATCAGTCAGAAAACTGATTTTAACCTGAGCTTTCAGGTTGTCACAACAAGGACAGCATTTACTTCAGGGTAAAGCAAGAAAAAGCTGATGAATATTTACATGCCTTGTTATATTTAGTCACAGAATGACTTAGTAGTGGATTCATGCAGATCTTTGCTTAAAAGCACAAGAGTTGCATTATACAGTCGTTATAACAAGATGTATTATTGCCCTTTCTACAAAATTCTTTTATGCTCATTTTTCTTTATCTAAATATTTTGGTAGCACTAATTGATTTGAAAATTAGTATATTGGTAAGTTGTGACTTAAACTTTCTATTGTCATAAACCAAATTTAGGCTTAATTTCAAGTCATGAGCACCTTTAAACAAACCAATTCCCCATCATGTACTTCAAAGGCAGCTTACATAGTACTTGAAATCTTAGCAGAACTCCCCCTAGAATTTTAAATTAATTAAATTAATTTCAAAAAGAAATACTTACAGTAATAGAATCAAAGTTCATTTCAGATTTTCATCTCAGCATTTGAACTGCTTTTTCTGCTTTGATGGTCAGGTCTTTGTCATACATATACCTGGTTTGAGTGAATAAGTGGAATCCATTTGATTCTTCACTTAGAAGCATCTGGAATTGAAAACAATGTATATCAGCTCACTCAGCTCATAGGAAAAAGAAAGCTGATTAAAAACGTGTCTTTTTGCAGATCTGTCTGCTGCCTTGAAGAAAAAAAGCCACATATTGTTGGTTATGAAATTAGTGATCATGTTTTTCAGCTTTCTACATCCTCTGTTTCTGCTAAGGTTACATGCTACCTAGATTGAATGATTTACAGTAATGCATGAATTAGGTTGTAGGAATTCAGAAGAGAGTAAAATGAGATTTATTTTTAGTTCTCAAGTAATGCAAAGATGAGTTGAAAGCAATGATTTTCCATTATGGTAGATTTTGAAGACTCCCATCTTTCTCCTCCACAGGCTGCTAAAGGTAAAGACAACGAAACTGGGAGAAAACAATGACATTTTATAGTATAATTTTATCTAAATAATTTTTACAGAAACCTCTGTTTTTGCAAACTAGAAATTTAAATTAAGAGTATTTAACAGGTTGTGGCTCTGGTTCTCACAGTTGGAAGCATATATCACAAACTGGTGGGAAGCTCAGGTCTTCAACATCAGCACAAATCAAAGTCATTGAATTGCATTGATTCCTGGAGTTTTGAACATATCTTTATGTGTTATAGGAAGGAGATTGTGTTATAATGATTGTCAGAAGTATTTGTAAATATTTGTAAGCTTACGTAGTACTTGAAATCTTAGCAAAACTCCCCCTAGAATTTGGTTAAATTAATATCACTTTATGATATTCACTACTTGTCTTTAAAATCTGTATTTTAGCAGGGCTGAGATTTTGTTTTGTGGAACTGTTTTATTCTGAGTTTCATCTTACACTGAAAAACAAAGCACATTGTAGGGAATATGGAGCTGCTACTTTTCTTAGTTTTTTATATCTAAATGGGATTTTATTGTTTCATATGACTATTATATAAGGAAGAGTTAAGCAGTAATAGATTTTTTAACTGTGATTCTGCAGTTTGGAATCTAATTATTAATCTTCAGTAAATAATAAATTTATAATTACAGTCAATTCCAATTTAATTCTGAATTAAATAGGCATATTTCATAGTTTGAAAACATGTCTAAGTCTCTTTTTTTATTAGTTACACATTATTCAGGAAGACAGTCAACTGTCTTTAGGCAGAGAAAGATCAGATTTTAGTACCTGTAAGTGTTATTGTTTGAAATATTATTCAGATACACTTTGCAGTTTGTTTTGAATAATACTATCCATTACTGAGACCTTAAATTACTTGGAAATTATTGGAACCATGTTTTTGTTTATTTTGAAGGTAATCAAGCATTAAATTGTGGTGAACAAAGTTCTCTCTTGGAACAGGAAAATAACAAAGAGCCTACTCTGATTGAAACAATCTTCACAGTATTGTCTTACTGCACTTTATCACCCAAATCTCTTGGCATTGCTTTTGAGTCCTACATGGAAAAAGAGCTGCTGTGGAACTGCTTATACAATATGACAGGTTTTTATTCATTTATTAATTTCTTAATAAGCATTTCAAATCTGATGTTAAATGTTGTTCATTCTCAGACATGCAGTGAGTATTATTTGTATTTGTGATCAATCAGGTGAAAGTATGTTAGTTTACTTCAAAATTATAGTATTATTTAAGGGTTTTGTGCAGTCAGGCCATGATAAGAGTGGTTAAAATTTTGAAGAATGCAGAGGTTCCGGAGCAGTGTTGTTGACCAGGAGTCTGATGACCTCAAGTGTTTGTCTTACCAGCAGAGACTGGCTGCAGAATGTTTTTGTAGGTCTCAACCAGTAGAGGTTCTTCACCTCTATGCATTCAACAGCTCCAGACCTTTGCCACAATTTAAAAGAGAGGAGGCAAGGGAGAAGAGTGGAAAAAGAGAAAGAAGGACTTCTTCTCCTGTTGAGGGAGAAATAATCTGATGAGCATTTAGTTTCTATTGTCAACAGGCATTCAGCCTCTTAATTTTCTGTTGAGGAGGAGAGCTGGCCTCACAATTAGAGCAACTAATTCTATCCCTTAGGAAAACAGTTTTCAATCAGAAAAGAGAGGTGATATTTAGAAGGGTGATATTGCAAATTATGGATTAAAAGCAGGAGGGCTCAAAAGAAGAGGATGAAAATGGGAGAATGCATGAGGGGAAATAGAATTATGAGCATCACAAAATAGAAAACAATGATAAAAGTGCTCAGATACTTCTCAGAGAAAAATGGGATTGCAAAAAGTAGAAGTTTAACATGTAAGAGGAAGGAAAACAGTGAAATAGTGCTTGGAAGCTTCCAGAAAGACCATGATTAGATCAGCAAAAAGTAGAGGGAAGCAAAAGTATGAGCAAAGGATCTAAAGATCTAACATGTCAAAACATCTGTCTGAAATACTCTGCAACACACTGTCTGACAATTGCAGCTCCATGACAATGGAGAAACTGCAGTTTGCTGTGATATTAAGAATGTGGAGAAGATTGATACTTGTTGTAATGTCAATAACTGTATTTAGGATGGTGTGTTTTGAACATGCAGTCTCTGATGACATGCTGTGTTTCTGTTGATAACTATTATTTGTATGTATTTTTGTTTCCAAAATACCTTTCTTTTCCTTTACTGTCTGTTGTATAGCAGTTTGGGTATGTAATAAATGCAACTTCATTTATACTTTCAAGACAAGAAAGTAGAAAAAAGGGTATATCTGTTTGCCTCATTGATGCCTAACAAATACTTAAATGTTTTCCATATAAAAAGGAAGACATCAATCAGCGTAAATAGAATTTTTAAAATGTATCAGTGGAGAAATTAGAATTAAGGAAATAAATTGATTTTTTTTGTCAGTACTGTATTAAGACGGTAACAAGATGCCATATGTTTTGCATTATACTCTTTCTTAATTTGTAACAGACAAATAGGTCTAATTTATTATGACATAATGTTAATTTTTTTATCCATAAGAATACTGAAAACACTTTCTGAAACAGATTTACACTTACTGAATAGTTAATAATTCTTCCTTCTGAAGTTTCCAGTTGTGGTGAGTCGGAGCCTGAAGTTGTCAGATGCTTGAAGTTGACTTTGATTAATTCAGTGAAGGGTATAGTGAAACAAATAATTTCTTTGATGCATTCATGGGAGGCAACAGAAAACTATGGAACATACCAGCACAAGCAAATAGTTCCTGAAGTTTTACTGAAAACTGTTCCAAAGGAATGGAATTACACCCCTCGGGAAATGAAGAGAAAAGAATCTGGCAAATGTAGGTGAAATTTAAACATAATATTTATATATGTGTACAATGCATCCTATAAGCTTCTCATAAGAACTTTTAAGTCCTTCACTCATTTACTCCAAAACTAGGCAATTAAATTTTGTGAGTGTGTTATAGCTTTACAATGAACAAACTATTCCTAAACATCTTGTGGTGGTTGGGGTGTTTTCAGTACTTTCCATTAAAATTCGGTTATTCTTTCTTGAGGCTTGCAGCCATACCTATACAAACAAGATTTTGAAAATAATCAGTATTGTAGTATTGGTAATAATATGCTGGAAATGTTTCCAGCATCTGGCAGTAGTCAGATGGGATTCAAAACAAAGTGAAGAATAATGCTTATACTTTGGCCTCAATGGCTGTAAACAGCTTTCCTTTTCATTATCATCTTTTCATTTGGGATTGTCATTCACCCCAACTTTACCACTCAGCAATTTATGCTTGAATAAAACAAGCACTGAAGCTTTTGTGGGATATGCTGCTGCTTGGTTGTTGAAACAGTAAAGGAAGAAAGAAATCATACAGAACAGGACGTGTTTTGAAGGTGCTTAGATGTAAAGCTGATTTCTGGTATGTATTTTCATAGCCCACAGTGCCTAAAGCATCTGTCATTTCAGGTTGTGGTTCAGAAGGCTAACTTTTAGAAACATTTTATGATAAATTTTTGCCACCAAAATATTACCTGAATATTTTCAAAACTGTAGTATATTGTGGCACAGAGTTTTGAGTATGTAGATTGTGGCCAAGCCAGGGCATCAATCCATTCTTTTTTTTCATACATCTTCACAGCACTCTCATTTTAATCTAGAACTTTTGTATGGCTATTTTGGCTAATTGCTGTGTGTGAACTGATATGCAAACTGAGAGGTAACAGTCTAGGCTTCAAGACAATTTAAATTTGTATGTGTGATATCTAGAACAGATATGGTTTCTTTTTTTAATAAAAGAAAAACATTTGGAATGCAGGTGCAGTGACACAGGGTTTTCTTGAATTGTTTGGAGATTGGTGCTTTTTTTAATCTTGACACCTTTTGCTATGTTTTTCATTTTATATATGTCTTGGGTTCTGATCAACACAATTTCTCTGTAGTTACTTTTATAGCTACTTTTATTATCTAGGGTCTTTAAAATGCAGTGCTATCTAGTGTTGATGTTTAAATGAAAGATGATAAACTGAACTTTTGTAATTTTGAACTTAGAAAAGAATTTATAAAAAACTAGTGGATATAAATGCATGTAATATTCTGATACACTTAGCACAATGCTTCAGTTGTCAAGTTGAAAAAATGCTAAAATTTTGAAGACAACTTTTTACCATTCAGAATACCAGAGTACTGTCTTTCTCATGATTTTGTAATGACTGTGCACACCAGGACTAACTGTTGAGAGTCACAGTCTAAATTTTAAATTTTCTGTTTTTAATTAATGTAGTTGTTTGAGTTTTTTGGGATTTATGTGCAGATAGCATAATACAAGTGAAACTACAGTACAGTGTTGAGTACTTAAGCTTTTTACCCATTTTCAGTACAAAAGGAAGTTAGAAATTATCATACAACTATCAGAAGCAGTTAGAACTATACTGTTAATGTTAATCATATAATCTTTTCTTTCTATTTTTAAGGCTTCACAAGGCTTGCAGCTCAAGCAGTATCTATTGTAATCAGCAAGTTACCTACAGTGATTGCATGTTTGCCTCCCCCAGTTAAATACTTCTTTTTTCTGGCTGAGAGAAAAATGTCAAGAAACTTTGCTGAATTGAAGAAAGCTGGTCTGCTTGTCTGGAACTTGATTGTAATTATATGTCGGATATTTGAGGATGGAAATACTGCAGAATTTTTAACAGGTGCAACACTTGACAGATGGAGCAAAGAAAAACTCAGTTTAGTTCGTGTGTGCTTAGAAAGTATTATGGGAAAACAGAAAAGTGGTCCTAAGCAGGTGACCCAGAAGATTATACAAAGCATTGAGCAGCAAAGACCAAACTGGATTGAGAGCCAGTTGCTGAAGGCAAGAAAATTGAGCATAGACTGGTAAGAATATAGTATTTTTCAAATGCTATGATTTGCTCTTTATTTTACTGGATTATTGGCATGTTTATGGCTACTGCTCAATTTTAAGGAAAAGAGATGAGCAGTGATCTTATATGAAACAAATTAGTCCTAAATATTGATATACCATGGGTTTGTAATTTAAGTTCATTGCTGAAACACTAAAATATGGTTATTCATCAGAACGGTGTGTTCATAGTACTACAAGTTTTCATGTTATCGAAAATATGGACAAGTCCATGATCTTTCAAAATGTAAACAGGTACGAAATACATTTATAATTTAATTTTACTGTGGTGATTAAATTAAGAGGAACTGTGAGAAATTTTTAATGTTCATCTGTGAATAAAAAGTAAGCATACTTTATTCTAAAACATATAAAACCCTGAGGCAAACAGGGTATATCATTAAAGGACAAGAATAATATCCTGCTGTGCCTTTCTGAGAAAATACCAATTTTTCCTTCAGATTTGACATTAAGACCTTTACAGTGATTTTTCAAGGAGTTGTGTACACATCAGTGTGTTTGTAGTCCAGTCTGTTTTAATGTTGCATTCATGTATCATTCTGTAAAAATACCATTCATCGACTTTGCCATATTAGATTGATTGGAATAGCATGACTTACTGAATTAAATTGTAATCGCTGAAAGTAAGATTGCTGGTTTGTTCCATGAGTATTCTTGAAGGCTGCAGTTGTTGTCATGTCAGGATTTGTCCCTGTAAACAAAGGATACAGTGATTGTTGGCTGGAATCAGTGATGCCACTGAACAGGTTTTCATGCAGGTTTTCATCACTCATACCACTGAACAGGTTTTAAGGGACAGTGTCCTGTTTCTATGAGTCGTCAGTTAATGTGGGTAGCAGTAATAAATGTGGTAAGCAGTAATAGTGTCACATAAACACGCATTGACACTGACCTTTGTTATCTTTGCATTTCCATTTGATTCTAATTTACAAGATCTAATCCGATGATTAAAAGATTGAAGCCAGATGCCAGTGACTGACGGAGTTGTAGAATAAAAGAGCATAATGATAATTTGTAAATTGACCACTTAACACAGTGGTCCCATAATACAGTTTGTAATGTCACTGAGAGAATAGGTACTTCTTAAAAATACAAATATAGGAAGACAATATTGTGGATAACCTCTAAAACCTGAAACTTGAGTTAGTTTACACGTCTTCAGAAGCTGAGAATTTTAATTTAATATGCAACTGTATTTTCTTTTGTAAAATACCACAAAAGTGCTGTGTTACATGTTAGGTATCAGATTGTGGAAAGTAAAACATGGGAAAATGTTTCTGTATGTCTACAGTTTGTTTACAGCAATGAAAGAACTAGTTTGTGATTAGGCCTGGTAATTTTAAGCTTAGAATGAAGATTACATTGCCTGCTCTCCAAGTGAGCAGTTATTTGATGCAGTTATGAAGTTGACTTCCCTGACTTCAGTTGCATTTCTGCAATAGAAATCTAATATGAATGTTGTTTTTCCACTTTTCATTCAAATATTATCAGTCAATATCTGTGGGAAAAAAAACATCCAGTTTATAAATACCTGAGGTATCTAGAGATAAATGTTATTATAAAAATGCAAATTACAAAACTAATATATTAAAGCTGAAATTCAAATAATCAATTAAAGTAAGTAGTGACCACATAATTACTAAACTTAAAACAGTCTTTCAAGAGGGGATTTATGATTTTCATGAATGAAATTACTATATTGTAATCATATACTATGTACTATATTTGTGCTATGTAACCATTCAATAATGAAATTATTTTCTGATTTAGCTGGATGCATGTGCATATATATATATACGCACATATTTGTAAATGTTTATAGACTTCTAATAGATACATAGGAAAGAAAAAACCCAATAAATTTCAAAAATTTATTTGGGACTCACCTACACAGCGATAAAAACAATTTTGAAGTGTAGTGGGTTTTTGTAAGTAAAATTCTTGCTTGATTTCATGTTATGTTATTATTGTCAGTATTGCTATTTACATAAAAAGTCTAAATTTATATATTAACTTTATTTTAAAGAATATTTCAAAAATTATAGCCCTCATTGAAAGGTTCAGAAAATGGCAAAGGTTCTTTACCTGTCTTGTGTACTGCCTGAGTATTACTATTCATTAAAGTAACCTTCACTTTATGGTAGCACCAGAGCTGTAAACAGTCACGTTAGATTCTAAAAAACACACATCCTGGGAAGAAAAGAAATGTCTGTCTTTGCAAAGTAATTTGTCGAATTGAAGATTATTGTTTTTCATCATGGTGACCCTGACCTTGCTGGCTGGGTGCATATACAGATTAAGATGAATGCAGTTATTCCTTGGCTGAGGTCTGCCTCTCTCAGGGCACATTCTTGCTAATGACATGATTGATAGGCAGTCCCAAATCCAGAAAGGAAGTCATTAATCATAGTGCTGCCTGAATCCAATCATCTGGTTCACCTGCGCAATAACGGGCAGTAAAGAATACAAGTTGGGTGCTTCTGGCACTGATACATTCCTTTGTCAGAGGTCCTTAGCTTTTTCAATGTTAGTTGCTATGAATTTTGACAAGAAATTCAGGTTGCATCTGTATGTGGCATCAAATATCATCCTTAAATGTGCTTTAATTTAAAGATCAATTTCTTTGAAGCTTTTCTGTAAAGTACACCATAATAATATAGTATCACTTACTTGCATTCAGCAAAGAACAAAATTATAGTTTATATTTTGAAACTATTTGCTCTGTAGGACATTCTGAAACTGCATGTGGAAGCAATATCTATCGGCTTTAATGTCCAGCAGCTGTGCAGCAGTTCAGAGAGCCTGTAGGTCAAACAGCAACTTTCAGAAGCACTGACTTTGTAACCATGGCACACTTTAAACAGTAAAATGCAACCACAGTGGTTTTGTTTTCAGATTTTGGGGATTTTTTTGATGGTTTGTTTTTTGTTTTACTTCTTAACAGTTACAACACTGATTTTTTTAATTGATTGATAATGCTTCCTTGGTTTATTTTAAATTATCCAACCGTGTCTGTAGAAAGGACAATATATTCTTGTTAATCTTTTGAGTTCATGACACATACGTGTTAAATACCTGTGCTGCAGCTCTAGTATTTGAGGAAAATTTTAGTACTACTTCTTTCTTAGACTTCATTAGTAGCAGTACTAAGATAGTAACTTGTGGTTGCGTGCAGAGAGTCTGACAACAATCAGAGATTTGAATGCACATTTTTGGAGGCATTTGGGAATGTCACTTTCAGATTTTCATGGTAGAAGTTTCACACAAATACAAAAAAAAGCCCCAAGGAATGGTATAGGGCAAAAAATGCAACAAGTGGCAAATACGGACCTTTTAAATGGTTAGCAACATAGCAGTGGAAATAAAACTACTTAAATTTAAAACTTCTAACCTATACTTAAAGTAATGGCTACCTTTCTGACATGTTAATTAGGCTTTAATGTATGCTGTGACAGGCAAAGAAAAATGCACAAGAGATCAAATGTAAATGCCATTTCTAGTACCAAAGATACTTCTCTAGGGGAAATGAAAATATTTGCTACTTCTTTATCCTTAAGGAGTGTTTTATCTGTTCATCTTTCCAATTAAGGTGATTAAAATTAGTATAATACTGTTATTTAACACGTATTATGTGAGAGATATATGTAGAGCAACATATGTCTAAGTACTTCGAGGTTTTTTTGAACATATAGTTCTAGCTGAGTTGATATTAATATTTTGCTCTTTATAAATTTAACTTAGAACTGTATCTTTTCTATCTTCTAGTGCCTCAGTCACAGTTAAAGGTGCAACATTAGAGGAAGGAGGTATTGCGCTTGGATTGTCTGAGCATAATATGAACATGATGGTCCTGGATATCTGCCACAAACCAGGTGGTAGTGAGTACCTGAGGCAAATTTATCACATCATCCGGCTCAATGAGGTAGGGAAACGGCCTTTCCGCAGACCAATTAGGTGTGTACTGGCCTGGGGCAACATCTGCTGACAGCTAAGGATTAGTCAAGGAGGTGATAACACTTCTTAAAATCACTATAGAATCCTTAATAGAATGCATTCAGTTTAGGGTTTTGTGCATTTCTACAGAAAAGACTTCGTTATAGGAAACACTGTAGATTTTGTTTAGGTACTTAGACAGTAGCATGGCTCTTAAACTTCCTTCAGTTTCATGTTGTAGACCACAGATTCATTTTAGGAGTCTGAGCACAGTAAAAAAAATAAATTTAAAAATCAACGAAGGCTGTTGAAGAATTGACTGTTACAAAGGTAAAATTACACTTGGTTAATTAACTATCTTGGTTTAAACAAGTAAGCAACCCCTGTGGCTGTACTGAGGAAGTAAATGTAATCTTACTCAATTTAGACAATTCTGTTCAGCCAAAGTGCTTTTAAAATTACAAGATACAAATTCAGATTTATTTCCTGCATATGGAATTTTGGCAATGTAAAAGAGCAATTGCATTATTTCTAAGGCTATTCTAAATTGCCCCGAGTTACCAAAAGCATTTTGGTTTTATTCACTGAAATAAACATAGGTTTGTTTAAATTGTATGGCAACACAACTTAATTTAGAAAGTTATGGTTTTAGTTTTAATTACTAAATTCCTTGAATGCATAAGCAGGTGCTTAAGACCCTTGCAAGTGTACAGAAGTGTTTATAATAAAATACAAAATAATGCAAATATAGGCAGAGGCCAGGATTTTTCTTCTGGAAAACCTGGTTGTAGAAAACTCTGACTTAGAGAGCTCTGTCTGTAGGGAGGCCATAGAGAGCACCTTAGTACACACACTGTGCCTCTGAAAATAGGATCCAACTGTTTAGTTCCTAAGTAGAGGCTTAAAAACAACCTTTATGAATCTGCCTTTGGAAGCATCAGAAGCAATGTAAGCGCATGTGCAGAGACGGCAACCTTACATTAGGAATCTTTTCAAGTTTCAATTTCCTGAACAATTAACTGGTTTAGGAAGTGAAGTGAAAATTATTACTGTAATAAACAAAACTTCCTCACCTGGAGCACATTCAGGATTACTATTAGGTATAAAGAGATGTGAAAAAGACCGAAAGATCGAAAATAGCATATAATCCAAAAGTTAGGACAGTTGTCTAGGGGACAGCACATGCAGGCTCAAATCTTTATACTTCCTGGTTTATACAGGGAATTGAATCTGCATCTCCCACATCTGAAATAATTCCCCAAACCTCCATACCATTAGCTATCAGCATGGAACTCCTTTTTCCCTTGTTGGAGTTGTTTTGCCTTGTAGAAATAGTGGTAAAAATGCATTCTGTAACTTTTAGGGTCAAAAATAGAATGATACTGTAGCTGAAGGAATAAAATGCACATCCTGGGTTTTGGAGACCCTGATCTAAGATCTGACTCCTGTGAGTATTCCGTTATTTATACAAAGTGGAGCAGCTCCAATAGGAGGTATGAAGCTAAGAGAATTAGGGGGAAAAGGGACTTCAGCCTGACTTTCCACATCCCAGGTGTCTCTCCTTGAATTTCTGCAGCTAGTAAGACCCTTTTTAAAAATAGAACATTTCTCAGTGGAAAAAACTCTATTGTTTTAAAAGAGAAGAAGAAGAAGAGAGATCCTGACCAGCTTGAGTTACAGAAGGATTTAACTGTATTACTTTCAAATGCCTTTGAAACCATTACAAAACATTTTAATGCTTAGCATGGTATTATGATTATAGACTTTTCAATATTATTTTTCAAAACCTAAATTATGTTTTATATGCCTGCTTACCAAGAAATAGATTTGATTTTGTATTCAAAGGTCCACTCTTTTCTTCAAGGACTGCTTGGAATGTCACAGGATTATGTTCTTAAAATAAGTTTTAGAGATCTTTATGCTACAGTGCTTGGTAATCATGTGAAAAAACAAAATGATGGGACAGAAAATTGTTGTTCTTAGTAATATTCCTTAGAAAAGCAGGTGGAAAAGGATATGGGTTCTTGGAAGCTGGATGTGAAAATAGTTTTTATGAAAAATTTTAACAATTACTGTATACTCAAAACAGCATTCAGCCCTTCATGTGTTTGCAAAAAAAATTTTTTAAATATTTTTTTAGTAATGACAACCAAAGAGATAACTCTTCTGATCTGTCAGGCTCAATACTATTCTGTACACTTGGTTTGATGCCCAGTGAGTGTACTGAGGATATAGTTCACATGTTTACAGATGTGATTTCATATTTTCACATTTTTGAAACATGACCCTTTCAGTGACTATGATATTTACTGTACTAAAAGGGCATCTTAATGTAATGTATTTACCATTGTTGAATAAGTCTCTTCATCAAAAGCAAATCCACAGTATTTTATTAAAGACGGAAAAATACTTTTATTGAGGTCAGTTGTATACCATACCACTTGAATTTTTCAAACCCTGGCAAGCAGGTGTTAGCAAAATTGGTCAAAATCTCTCTCCTAACACCACTGTAACATTAAGAAACAGGCATTCTTTATTACAGTGTCAGATGCCGCAGGGATATCTCCACCAGAATTGTGCATGTCAAGTACAGAAAACCTCCTGCTTTATATACTGTATTTTACATACATATTCATTGATTTTTGCAGAACGAACCATATATATAATAATAATTTCCTGGAGACCCATAACATGCCCTCCCCACTTTGTGCGTGTGTTCGTCTGTCCCGGGGGTCCCTCTTGTGGTCTCTGGTGGTCCCAGACCCCAAAGTTACCCATTCAGTGAACTGGTATTGCTTTCCAAAAAGGGAGCTGAGATGGCATACCCAGGCTGGTTCGTTACTTTGTTAATGTTTAACATGATCCTACAGAATAGGGATAGTGCTGTTTTGTAGACTACTGGATTTGCAAAATAAGCATTGTGTCTTCCCGCCAGCTGAGCAAATAGTTCTTCATCTGGCAACACATGGACAGCTATTTCCAGTATTGCTTCTGAAAAAGCAACACAATCTGCTTGTGCTGGCTCTGTTACATCTAGAGGGCTGGGTTACTTTAGTCTACAGATTTTGTAAAAATGTGTACGTGGAAGGCAGTACATTTATGAAAATTTGGTAGATGTACAGAAATAGCTTTTAAATAACCTCCTTCACTGTGGCTCTGAAATCTTTGTTATGGCATAAAGTAGTGAATGAATAAATGAATGGGGAAATAAAAATCCAGATATTTTTGAAAAGCTGAGTAAAAATAGCTAAAAGAGGGTATGTTTTCCCAGTTGCTCTGTGATATTGTTTTAAGCAGAAAAAAGCCCAGTTTTTTTTTTCTTCTTTTGATTGGTTGGGGATTTTTTCCATACACAAAGACAATTTTGTGATTCTCTTGGTCAGACATGACATTTGATTGCAACCAGCAGAGAGACAGTCCTTCTCTTTCTCTTGCCCCCGTGCTTTTCCATTCATAGGCCCCCCTTTGTACTAGTACTAGAAATCATGTGGCTTGTTTATCTGGATGAAGCCTTTTTTTTTTCCTGGCTGATTTCACAACATATGCTAGTGCCAACACAAGGGAGAAACAGCTACAGTCTGTGTGGCCTGAAACTGAATTTGTGCCTTTCAGGTCAGGCCATAATTGGGTAAGTTTAAACAGATGATGAAATTCTTCTTTTAGAAAGATCTACTGAGAGGCACAGGATGCCTTGGCAAGTAATTTGCCTGTTATTCCACCTCAGCATTACTGCAAATAAGAGGAGCATTTGCATCCACCCATCCTAATGACTCACCTTGAGTACTTCTCCGCGTAATGGACTTCATTTTAATAACAATAAACTGTTTAATCACAGTAGTTAATCCAGCAAATGGATGTGTAAATGTTTCATTATCTAGTTCTTCATAAAATGGTTCTATTTAATCAAAACACTTTATTGGCCTGCAATGATGATTTATTTACATAGTAGTCGAAGAAGTGAAAACAGAAAAGATGGTGTCCAAAATAATAATGCATCTGTTACAGTATAGTTTCTAAAATTGCAATGCAAATCATACTGCTTCTAGTCCTTGAATGTTTAAGCAGCTAAAAATAGCTTTCAAGAGTGGGAGAATATTTATTTCCTCGGTTTAAACAACATGGTTGCAACATGTTAATGAAATAATTGATTTATAGTCATGGTTGACTGTTTTCCAAAAAGTTTAATTCAAAAGTCATGAAAAACATTTGTTGTTCACTTCTACATATACCTTTATATATCTATATATATACATATATATATATATATAAATTGAGAATTCATACAGATAATTTGGCAAGAATTTCAAAGCAGTAGGTTCGATTGTTCTGTTTTGCTCAAGCTGGGTGCATGTTTTCCGAGGTTATTTCTTGTTCATTGTAAAATGGTGATGTTGTTAAAAAGGTTTCTGTTTTTTAAAAAGATTTTTAATTCCCCATTATTAAAAGGAAGTTTTATCTTCCAAAATTCTGCTTGAAATGTAGGCAAATTTCACATAGAAAGCTAGGTGGCCTGTACTATTCTGTGGTTGCTTTTTTCTTCCAAAAGGAATATTTGAAAGAGCAGCTGTCTTGTGAGAATTCTTCTGAAGATGGTGTCACCTCGAGTCAATATCTGCCTTTGACGCTGAAGGGCAGAGAAGAGCAGCCTGTCTTCAACCCTTTCCAGGTGTACAGACAATCTTATGCAAAAGTATTCAATCAGGTTTGTGAAAATCTGAAACCTTGGTTATACTATATTTTTACTTGTTGGTATTATTATGATCATGATAATGATAAAGACTGAATGTATGAAAATGGAGACTTATTTATGTGTGTTCACATTTAATGAAGCAGAAAGGTATATTATTTCTTGGGAGTGTAATGAGGGTACCCTTTACAATATCATGATGTTCAAAAAGCCGTTACTGGCCTCTTCTTTGATCAGAATTATTGCATGCAAGAGCAATTTGCATATACTTACACTTTCTGCATTCAATATACTGAGGGAAAGCCCCTAATAGCAATAACTTTTATTACATCTGTGCAATAGTACATAGGGTTAGTCTTAGGCCTTTGAAAAATCATATCAGAACTATAAGTTCATATTTATAATCTTCCTCGTGGGGCTTTCACAGATATGTTGAACAGTCAAGTAAAGAATGCTTTAGAAATACAAAGATTTTACAGAACAGCGAGACTAAGTGAGTTAAAACACACACACACACACACACACACACACACACACACACACACAAAAAGGCACACATTTCTGGTTTTCTTTAAGTCATACTCATAATATGTAAAGGATTACAATTTTCTTATTAGAATTTAGTTTCCTTATAATGGAACAGTTAAAGAAAAGAGATCTAGTTGCCTAAATGTCTGCGGGAGCCCTCCATGACCAATTCATTACACAAAATGCTAGATAGTTTCTGATACCACTTCTCTACTTAAAAAAATCTTATGCCATAGTTTCTCATATATTCTTAATATGTCATCAGCGTTTTTGATTCCAGCATTCAATTCAAGTATTTGAAAAGATGTGGGATCACAGTGACACAAAATTCACTTTACAGACTTGTGTGGAAATGCATCCTTTTTCAGTGCAGCCCGGCTTATATACAGTGTAATCTCTCCAGTTTTGACTATTTTGGTCTATTTCATCAGTTATATTGCTGTTTTTCTTACTTGTTTAATGAACAGTACAATCATTGTACTGTTGCAATAAAAGTCTTAATATCTTGAAAAAGGAGACAAATACCAATTCCACAAGGCTGCTCAAGGCTCTTCACTCCAGAGAAGCATGCTTTATAGAATCTTTGAGTCAATAGAATCATAGAATATCTTGAGTTGGAAGGGACCTTCCAATCAAGAATCAGTGAACCACAGAATGGGTGAGATTGGAAGGGACCATGGTGGGTCATCTGGTCCAACCTCCCAGCTCAAGCAGGGTTGTCCTAGAGCACAGGGGCAGAGAATTGTGTCCAGATGGTTCTTGAGTATCTCCAGTGAGGAGGACTCAACAGTCTCTCTGGGGAGTCTGTTCCAGCCCTCAGTCAGCCAGGCAGTAAAGAAGTTCTTCCTCATATTCAGCCCAGGAAGCCAACTGTTTGATGGGCTGCATCAAAAGGAGCATGACCAGCAGGTAAAGGGAGTTGATTCTGCTCCTGTGACCCCACCTGCAGTGCTGCATCCAGCTCTGGGGTCCCCAGCACTAGGGAGGACATGGAGCTGCTGGAGCCAGTCCAGAGGAGGAACAGCAAAATCACTAGGGGGTTGGAGCACTTCTCCTATGAAGAAAGGGCAAGAAAATTGCAATTGTTTGGCCTGGAAAAGAGATGGCTTCAGTGTGACCTAATTGCAGCCTTGCAGTACTTGAAGGAAACTTACTGGAAAGATGGAGAAGGACAATTTACATGAGCATGTAAAGGGAACAAAGGGGAATGGATTCAAACAGACAGTAGCTGAGATTAGATATTAGAAAGAAATTATTTCCTATGAGGGTGGTGAGGCAGTGTAACAGGTTGCCTAGAGAAGCTGTGATTGCCCCATCTGTTTAAAGCATTCCAGGCTAGGCTGGGCAGAGCTCTGAGAAATCTGTTCTAGTGAAAGATGTGCCTTGCACATAGCAAGAGGTTGGAACATGGTGATCTTTCAGATCCCTTCAAACCTCAATCATTCTATAATTCTCTCCTCTGATTCTATTTCCAGGTTTAATGATGTTATTAAATAGTTCAGTTCTCTTTAACATTAAATTGTACTTTTATTTGTGATGTGGGACTGTCCATTTATAAAACAGTGATCAGTATAGCTGAGTGTCTTGTTTCCAATGAAAATTATTTCCAGTGCCTGTAAAGATGCCAGAGCACTGACAAGGAACCTTTTCTTATTCATTTGCTTTCTGTTTTCTCAGTATTTTGTTTTTTTCTGGTTACCTTTATTTCCCCTTCGTGCTCTGTATTTCACCTTTGTTTTTCTATTTTACTTTAACATGCCTGGCAAAGGTGGGGGATAGGGAGTAAATTAGGTAAGGTGAAGGAAAGTGATGAAATATAGATGGGAGGAATAGGAGGGATTGCAGTGATTCTGCTCTCCCAGAAGAACCAACTGCTGTCTGTAAGAAGAAAAAGATACACTCCAAGTTATACTTTACTATTTATTTAGGTTTATTTTCATTGTTTTGACTTGCTTAAACATTTTTTTCTTTACCACTCCGTGATGTTTCAGTATTACAGCAATAATACTTATTACAATACTTTTTACCTATTTCCACCCAGGAAGATTATAGTCACTACTTGACCATTGCTGACAACGATAAGGAACATTATGCAACAGGATTTACTGTTTTATAAAAATAAGAATGTTGTGTATAGTCTCTTGTCTGCCCACTGATGATGTAGATTGCTTTTGTTTATTAAATAAGCGCTATGGAGTTATACTTGTTCCTATTTTATAGATTTAATGCTGTTTATAATACAGCATTAAATCACTCTAATTATGATACAAGTTACTTCTTGAATTCCAGCTATGCCAATTTTTTCATGACATAACTTTTTGCTGACAGCAGAAAATGCTGTAACAAACTGCTGTTACATAGAAAGTTACCAACTATTTTACTTTTTGGACAAAGAGTAAAGCTCGCAGACAAAGTAGTTGATCAGAATGCCATCAACAGTTGGAATAATAATGGTTAAAAAAACTGGTTTTTTATAAACTGTGGCTATGTCCTTAATTAATTAATTGCCATTTTACTGGAATAAAAACCTTCTTCTCTGGACATGATTGATAACATCTTTCTAAGTCCTCATTCTAGACTCCCCCTCTTTGTTAGTATATCAGCTGGAGCTTTAATGTACTGATCATATTAATGCTGATGAATACCTTACTAGCTTCTTTCCGTGTATCAACAGTCAGCCATTACTGAATGGAGCTGGGATTGGTCAAGCTTGCTGCCAGGTCACTTGGGACTGAATCAGATGGCCTTCAAGGTGCTGCTGTCACACAGGTAACGGGATTTTGGCAAATCATCACATTTTCCTTTTGTATTTTCGACTTTATAATAGTGAATTCACAAAGATTTTAGTGGTGAAATTTGTAAAGCAAATTCTGCATTTCTTTTAAAATACGTAGTTTTTAAAAGTAGCAATATTTTTTCTGTAGTATTTGATCCATACTCAGATGTCTTTCAATTCCTGTTTTGAGGTGTATAATTTGTTCTTTCTGTCTGAGGCAGAAGTATATGAATATATGTTGATATTGCACTTAAACGAGGCTTTGGAAAAAATCAGTAACTTTTGCAAACCTATACTGCTCAGGGAAATTTCAGCACATAATTTAGGCTCTATTTACTCAAGTTGCAAAGGATCTTAAATTCAGTTGGGGGCACAACAAGTGTAGCTAGAAATAGAAAGTGTTTCCTTAATAGTTTTCAATTAATAAAACTTTTCCTCATATTTTATTGCCTTTTCACTTGTAAAATGTAACTGCTTAATTCAGAAACTGCAATTTCTTAAATTCAGAAAAATTTAGGTAGAATTTGTTTAGGGGGTTGTGTGGCTTGTTTGTTTGTTTGTTTTTGTTAATATTTGTCACTTGTGAAAACTTACATGTTGCACACTGAACTAAGACATTCACTTCTTAATTCTGAATCCTCTTGATGATACCTAATAAGATCCTATCAGTCAACTTTTGAACTGACTGTTCATCTAGCTAGAAACTAGAGTGATGATTTCAAAAGTCTGTGAATTTGCATGTCATAAAGGTTTTGGGGTTTTTGTCTCATTTTCTCAATTCATCACTAGCAGTTAGTCTTAAACATTTAATTCTTCCTTCATTTCATGTATAAAATACTTTTAGTCTGTTTTGAGTTTTCCATCTTAATTCAGATAAGATTGCTTCTTTCCTTACCCAAATTGTTCTTTCCCAGAAGTTTAATTGCACAAAAAGTCATGCTAGCAAAAATTTAATTGCACAAAAAGTCATGCTAGCAAAAATTTGTTATTCAGTTCTCTTCTTGATGTCCTTTGTTACCTGTTACCAGACAGAATGTGAAACTTCGCAGACTTTTTGTGTTAAATGTCAGAGAAAATACAGTACTATTTTTTTATATTTTGATGGCTCTCCTGTTGATTGCTATCTCATGTCCTTCATTAAAAATGAAGTAGATTGTCCTTTTAAAAGAGGCTCATGGACTAAAACTGGTTCTTAAACTTCGCTTCATTTTATTGTCATCAATATGAGCTGAAGGGAGCAAAGGGCTGCTGTGATTTGCACAGGAAATATTTTGTGTGGGCATTTCATATTCACTGTTCCCTTAAAACACATTTTATTTTTCTTCTGATCTCTTTTTAGATGTTAGAAAGAAATCATGTGTGTGCCTCCTCAGAAAGAAATAATGTGTGTGCCTCCTCTCTCCATCTCTGTATTTCACATCCTTGTCATATCATCTATTTTTTAAATTTTAATTTATTTCCTAATTGTTGTCATCTTTCCTAATTTGAAAATGTCTTAATTCATTGCCCTTCTACATGGTAAGGAAATTCTCATCTAGAAGTGACATTATGCAAGTAATTAATGATTAGAGCATGGATCTATTATTTCAACCACTCTGCAAACCAGCCCATCATTTAGATCCACTGTGATCATAAAAAGTAGAATAGCTGATCCAGAATCTGCCATAGCAGCTGGCATCGACAGCACACCTGGTCTTTATCTGACTTTATTTTTATCATAGCTTAAGTATGTCTGCTCATACATTCCAGCTGACTAGGACAATTCTAGCTGTTCTTGTGGCTACACAAACAGGCTTTGCAGTAAGACTCAAGTGAGCCCTATCTTTAGGTGATTCTTCATGATCCTTCCTAGAACTGCATAAGTCAGCCTTACTTGTGCTCAAGACTTAATGTTCAAGCTGAATGAGTGTGTGATTATTTTGACCTCCCATTTATGGTGGACCTATTCTGTTTCTACTGTTTCCCTCCTGAGATGAGTTAAACAAAACCACGGGCAGTGCTTGAGCTGTTTCAGAACCATCATTTTATAAAGTGGAGCACCATGATATTTAAATTACTTCTTCCTTTGACACATGCTGAAGCTTTCCCTGAATAGTTATGTCTCTGCAGGCAAAAATTTTTTCACCAGTTCACAGTGATGTTAGAATGATATTTATTTACTTATTTTCATATTTCAAGAAAAAATACTGTCAGTTGCATATGAAATTTAAAAAGCACAGTCTTTCTTTTGAGAAAAAAAAGAGTGAAAATGCTTAGGGGACTCATTTACAAGGGAAGTGCTCCCCTAACCTAGTTAATGACTGAGTTAGGTGAGAGGGTGTTATGAGAGCATTGTCCCAGAGCCAGCAAGTGTTAGGCAAATTAATTAGTTGGTGGTTAGGGGAAAGTAAAATACTTTTAGGACTGGTTAAAAGGGAAATGAATTGTTGTCTACTACTCATTGCCGGCTTCACACAATGATGGGAATCTAATCCATGCATTCCTGTGATCCTCAAAGTAAAAGCATCCAGGAAATTTGTCAAATTAAAGATGTGGCGGTTATAAGGCTCTGGAATCCTCTCACTGAGTCCCTGAAAGGGGTTTACAGGGATTTATGTATGTACTGTGAGTTAGATGCAAGAGAGGAATACCTACAAGATACTCCTCAAGAGTCAAAACAGTAAAAACTTAACTGGCAAACTTGAGAAAATCAGGGATCTTAAGAAAAAGTTAAAAGCAACATTGAATCAATAAAAAGCATTTGACAAAACATCAATTTAGCAAGCTCTAAGGCCATTCAATTTAACAAACTTCAACCCATCTGATTTTAATTTACTTAAAAATAAATAATACATTTGTGTATATATTATGTATATAGTTTGAACTGGAAGAATAAAAGTTAAAATGTATTTCTCAATTATACTTGAAACCGTATCTTTTAGCAATAAGACCATTAACATTCAACTAACCTATGAACTTGATTTACACAAGTTTTAAAAAATATCCTGCATACTTACACAGATACGTGTAAGTATGTAGGATATTTTTAAAATATCTTACACACATACACCTTTTCAAGTCTTGGACTCACTTGTCACTTGTTCATCCTTTTAGCTACTCCAATAACAAATGGGGGTTCCTTACCTCTAATACATGTATTAAAGCAAGAAGAGCAATTGTTATTTAATTACGCATATCTTGACTTATACTTAGTGTCCTGCTCATAAAGTTACAGTTGTTATTGTCTGGCCAAATCAGTGTGTTGAAAATCAGCAAGAAGTACTTAGCAGTAGGCAAAAAGCTCATGTGTTGTCAACACTGAGGCACAATTCCAGAGCACACTACCATGCATGTTTCTTCTTGTTTATGTACTCTCCTTTATATAAAATTTAAATTTATGACCATTAATTTTCAGAGGAATATCTTGGCAATTTGTACATGGTTAGAAGATACGACCTTCTTGAGATGTGACCTGCCGTCTGCAGTTGTGCAGGACTTTCAGGTGCACTGAATACCTTACAATAATGTAAAGATATTCCTGTCACTATAAAGAGGACGAAAAAAAGAGACATTTTTGTAACATGTGAAGCCGTTATCCAGTATTGCAGTTATTTGCAGTTCTGAAGAGGAATGGCTGAGATTCCCTCCTCTACGCTTAGGGATGTTGCACTAAGAGCTGATGTCTGTGCAGGGACAAGTAGTGATTTAGTTGGAATGATGTAGATCCTGCTACAGGAGCACGCTGGGAGCTATAGAAATAGATAGAGAAGAAGTCATGACTGGCAAAGCCAACAACAGTCAGGACCTTCTGAATAGAAATATTAACAACTTAATAACTAAGAGAGGAATGGGAATGTGTTACTTTTACCATGTGTGTCAGGTGAGAAATAGTAACAAGTTTGAAAAACTATAGAAATTAAAACTAATATTTGTTCAAGTGGATAAAAGATGCTATAAAAATGTCTAAACTAAAAATTAGAATTTGATTTCCAACAGACAAGCCAGTGTAGCTCAAGAAGAACTTTCCAGAAAATGTTTATACAGTGATATGAGCTTACATAGTTTTAAGTTGGAACAGGATAGCCAAGTATCTAGCCAACTTTTGGTCATGTGTTGATAAAGATTCTGAACTTCTGAAAGTTGAAAACATGGAGATGTTTATATATTGGCTTTCAGGAAACCGTAAAAAATTGAGTAAGTTTGTTTTTTACTAAAACTGGATAAAATCTTTCGGCTTTCTAGTAGGCTCTGTTGCTACAGCTACAAGTCAACTATTAATGATGGTTGGTGAAGAGCTGGGGTGCTGCTAATACTGCAGTAATCATCACCTGATTAGTGTTACTATAAGTGATGCCATTACAGTGCATATGAGAACATTTGCAGCAAAGTAGATATAAACTCTCAGATCCCTTGGACTACAGATTTTTTCATAACATAGTCCATTCTGCATAGAATTTGCAGCAAAGTAGATATAAACTCTCAGATCCCTTGGACTACAGATTTTTTCATAACATAGTCCATTCTGCAGTCCATAGACTGCATTCTTGTGGATGAACTACTGGACTGTTTACAGGTGGGTCAGCTTTTTAGGTAGGTTAAAACTATCATTAGCAGCAGGTTAAAACTGGTTAAAACTGGTTAAAACTGTCCTAGGATTGAGAAAATCTTGTATCTAAAATCCTTTACTAAAATCCTTTCAACTGTACTGCCTTTTGCAAATTGATTTGTTTATACAGTGGTGGCATTTTTTTCCCCATATTAGAGCTAAGGGATAAAATTACGTGTTTTGACTTTGATTAAGCTTAATAAAACTGAAGTAAGAAAATCTTATTTAGAATTTTGAATGATTGCAGGGCAAAATTTGCATAGCTCTTGTATATTCTAGTGAATACACAGACACCATCTGTTGAGAATGATAGCCATATGGTGAACTATTTATAGAAAATGTTTATATTCATTGTGTTGTTGATTATCTAGATATCCAGAAAATGCACTTTTGAAATCTAGTTTATAA